CCTGGAGACTTTGCAATAAGCTCCATCATACAATAGTAAGGTCAGTTAATTCATGATCTCAGCCACTCTGCATCTCTTCCAGTCTTTGTGATTCCTTCCTTTTCATTTGTTAAAACTCAGGAAGTCTTGAGGCAGAACAGTGTGTTTGCTTTAGTGTCTCTCAGTGTGAGTCCCAGAGTCCACAGATTGGATGCTTTTATAGATGTTCCTTTTTAGATACAGGCTCTGTATGCACTGTTTGTTTTGCACAGATTTTTTGATTAACTCGATTTTCAAAATCATATTTGTTCCCGATTTCAGCTTCAGTTTGACTTACTCACTAAAACTGTCTTTAAACATTGTCCACTTACATGCAGCATTTGGTGATTTGTAGTCTTTTTTTTTTTTTTTTTTTTTTTTTTTTTTTTTTCTTTTCTTTCATGTCCTGGGTTTCGTCTCTCAGGCAGCATAACAGTGCCCTTATCTATTTGCTGGAGGTTGTTGGAACCGTCTGCAGGCTGAAAAAAAACTGAAAAGGGCTGAAAAGGACTACCATCTCTCATGCATGAAATTCAGGTTAAAAAATTATCTAATCTGTTTTTAATTGCTGTTAATATTCTTCTAAACACATGCTTGATTTGCTCATCAATCAAGTGCGAGACAGTAAAGGAGCGTGCCCCTATGGAAATACTACATTATTAATCATCGAGTATCAACTCTCTGTTAAGGAAACTAAACATGAAGAACCAAAATGACCCGACAGAACTGTGACCGACGAGCTGGACCAATTGAACTTAATTTAGGAAGTCTCAATATGTTGCCAAGAAGAGGAAGCAATGCAGGGAGCTTTTTGTGGCATTTTTCCACAGGGAACAAAGTTGATTAAAGAACTAGGTAAGTGTATTAATAATGCAGGTTACAGGTAACACAGCATAACTTAGTTTACGTTACCTAAAAACAGCAGTTTACTTTTCTCATTTTTAATTGTTTGAAGGACTTCAGGGAGTCCATCCCACCGCTGAAATCAAACCAACTAAAGCAGTAACTGGAGAAACCTGTGTTTTCCATCAGTTGGAATTGGTAAGTGAGGCTCATCCAAACCTGGACTCGCACCTGCGCTCCTGACCATAGCTTTACCTCATTATGAAAGAGTGAACAGAGATTTTTTTTTATGCCTCTGTGCTGGCCACAGCCAGGGCCAAACGCATTATGTTTTTGGGCTGTCCATCCATATGTATGTCCGTCCTCTTCTGGTGACCATGATATCTCAGTAATGCCTTGAAGGAATTTCTTCTAAGTGGCACAAACAGTCTTGTTGGACTCAAGGATGTATTAGAATTTGGTGGTCAAAGGTTATAGTTTCAGAGATACTTGAACATGAAGGTAGAACTTGAGTTGCTGAGTACCCTGTCATAGCAAAGGAGCACTTCAAAATTACAAAAAAAAAAACTTCCCTAACACTTTCTTTTCAATATCCAATGTAAACACTGCAGTGGCCACTTTAAATATAAAGTAAATATATTGCAGAGGAAATATTTACACAAGGACAGGTGCAATTCTGTGGTTTGGCAGTGATGTGTGTGTCCAGACCTGCAGCTGCAGACCCAGGTGTGTGTGTGTGTGTGTGTGTGTGTGTGCGCAAGAAAGCATACTTTTGTCTATCTGTCGGTCCCTCATCATTTCCATGCGATGATACAAGGTTCAAAGATGTGTACTTTCATAATATTAAGGGTAAGTACAGCTGTGTAAATTTCCCCGTTGTACTCCAATAAAAATAAACTCACCAGGGTTCCAGCTGTGAGCCCAGGATTCATATAGTGTCAATCGCATAATCGCTCTTTTAAAAATTTCACAGTAATTTTGCCGAGGTTTGGGATATGAGCTCATTTATAAATGGGCTGCAGATCAAACCGAAGGCTGAGGGATTCGTGTCATGTTTTAATTATCGTTTAACAGGAATGTTAAGTGCACGCTCAGTATCTTGCAGGAAAGGAAGTGTAAATTTCTTTTTTAGCTCCTAACATCTTGGAGGCAGTTGAGCCTGCTATTAGAAATCGATATTAATATAATTGAGTCATAAGTGTGCCAGTGCCCCATTTCTAGAAAGAGACAGCTTTCTATGAATCGATAGTGCACTTGTATCACTCATCCTTGAGTGATGCGCATAAAGTTTTGTTTTACTTAAAGCCATCCCAATGGAATTGACTTTGGAAAACAACAGTAAATAGCAGCCTGTCCAATTATTATTAACTGCTATAAAATTACAGTCCATTTTTTTTCACAAAGTGATGAGATTATTTTGTCCTACTTATTAATTGGAGTGAAATTGGACAGAGTGACTCACAGCAGTGTTACTGGAAGGTGTCAGACACAGAAAGCAGGTAATTATGGAGACAGGAAGAGATAAGGAAACAGAATGCAATTACCCTGGCAAGCAGAGCTTCAAATTGCTCTTCTTAGGATTTCTCACCTCAGGTTGCTATTGTTCATGCTTTGCATCTCCATACTGATCTTTATTCCCTTTACCCTCTAGCTAAAAGAAAAGGGAAGGTTTGCATTAATCAAATGGATCTCTACTGTAAGTAGAGCTATACTGAGTACACTAAACATGGCTTTTTGCTGAATATTAAAATGTATGTATTCAAAAATGTTTTGCAAATGATTTTGCATATGTTACTTGCATATTTATGTCATTGCTCTTTACATCCAAGCCTTAAAGAATTTGGTTTCACTTAACTTTCAGAATGCAGACTGATTTTTGTTCTGGTTTTTCACTATGCACCCTGAAACTGTAGCATTATTATTACAGTCATTGTACTCATGCATAGAATATATTTCCTTTTTTTTTTTTTTTTAAAGATTTTATTAATGACTAACACATAATAACAAACATGCACAGATACACCAACGAAAAGCAAATATAACAATTCCCCCTTCCAGATCCTTTCCTACTGTACAAGATATAAACTGCACAGAGCTGCATGCTCTGTCAATAAAAGTGTATATTTAACCAAGGAAAACTCCTACTCTCCTGCTGCCTTAGACTTAACTTCATTATCTGTCGATGCTGTGGCTGACTTTCTATCCAGATTGTACAAAATGTAACTGTGAGGAAACTGTGACTGTTAACTGTGGGCTATGGATTGCGGAGGTAGGCAATACGAGTGTTGTTCCTGTTGTATAAGGTGCATGTACATGTTTTTTACATCTTATGTTTTATGGGGAGAGACGAATGCTGCCATGCTGCTGATTTGAGGGGAAGGAGGGTTTCTTCTGCTCCATTTGTTCATTCTCGGTAGTGCCCATTTTGTTACTTTAGCCATTTGTTTTAGCTTTTAGGTGCTCTCTCAGCCTGTGCCACACACTCTCCGTGCAGACACACACACACATCTAATAGAAGAGCTGGACTTGACAGAGAGAAAGAACAAGACTAAATGAGGTTGAATTCCTCAAAGGCTGGATCCCTGTATTTCAAAGTGAATCAAACCTTTTGTTGTCAGTTTTGTCAGAATAATTATATTATAATATAAACATACAAATATCACTTTTTCTTCTTTTTGAATGAGCTGTGAGTGAAGCACACATGAGAGCATGCTGGTTAAATCTCACAGCACAGGGTGTTGTTGATGCTCAGAGTGGCGCTTCAGGGCTGGATTCACTGAACGTGTACTCACATTTACTGTGACCACATATATTGAGATCTACCGCATTTAGACGCTAATACAAGTGGGGGGCGGGGGGGTGGCCGCCAGTGGCCCTCAGAGCTACTTATCACCGTATGGCTGCCGGCGATGGAGCCACTTCGCTTTCCTCCCCGACAGCTCATGTCACCGCTGGGCCAGCTCGCACTCACACAGTCCTCTGCAAATCCACACACAGTTTGCCTCAAATTGTTTATGAAAACTTCCCCCATTTTTGGTTTGATGAATACTCTGTACCAGCGCAAGTGCTTTATGTAATTGCTGTATAGGTTTGATGGCCTGATAGGTGCCACTTAGTCAAGCTTCAGTCAGCTTCAGTCTGGGACTGGAAATGATCATTGCAGACAGATCAAGTGTATGAGGGGAGTGTAAGAGAGTCACAAAGTGCTTTTATGTAAATTGCAGTTGAAGAGCGGCTCTCCATTGAGACTTAAATATACAGCACTGTATATGCTGCTCGTCAGTCTTGGGGATGTGTCCTCTGTGACTGTAAAAAGCTCTGTGTTCGTATGAAAGGTTCAACACCCCTCTCTCCAAAAAGGCCCCTGAGAAAAAAAGATTAGACAGAGGGAGAGAGCTGGAAGGAAAACATGGCAAACTCATCATCATCAGTGAAAAGAAAGTAGGACACATGGTAGGGACCAAGGTCGTGGCTCAATATATAAAAATACCTCTGGATAACAGGTCCCACATGAAAGGTCAAAGGAAAATGAAATGAAAGATTGCCTCTCAAATATCAAAAAGACGACACTCTGACAACACTATACTGTTGTGTGGAGAAGGGTTGTGTTCGCTTTCTTCATGAAAAGCGATAAAGCTATTTTTGCCCTGTGCTACAGCAGCATCACTTATATCAACAATGTTGTGGAAATGCTCCATGGATTGTAAACTCTTTCCCCCTCCTGGATTTAATAATAGGAAAGCAGGTCGCACTGAGTATTTTTGTTTGTAGAGGGTTTGTGTAGTGCTTCCTTGTTCCTTCCCAACTGTTGCTGGTTTAACGCCCTCCAAATTATACCAAGGATAGCTGTGAGGCTCTCTTCCCATTTTCCTCAGTTAACAAGCACTCTGTTTATATATGATTATGGTTCTCTGCCTGTTTATTCTGCCTGGCTTTTTTAAATTACTTTGCTGGTTTAGTTCAAGGTACAAAATCCACTAAAGGATTCAGTTGAGCTCATTTGTTTTCTTTCCGTCGAGAAATATTTACGGTCATTTCATTCTTCGCTGCTGTCAAATGAGCTGAAGGGGAGAAACCCGCGCTCGTTCGGCTCCCCCGTTCGCCAGTTTGACGGTTATTCCTGTGTTTGCTTTTTGCAGCGCTGCCAGTCATGCAGGTGACAATTGACATTACCAGACAGCAGGTGGAGAAGATCTTCGGTCTCGACGAGTACTGGTGTCAGTGTGTCGCCTGGAGCACCACCGGAACCCAGAAGAGCCAAAAGGCGTACATCAGGATTGCTTGTGAGTGCATGTTAAAATGAGCACTGTGTCATTACTAAGGCAAACGCTGCCTAACTAGGTGCTTGCATATTGCATGTCAGTATGTAATAAGAGGATATTAGAAGGGTGATTTTTTTTTTTCTTTTTTTTTTTTTTCACTTTGGGTGGTTATCACGGGACTAAGTTTGATTCTAACAAATAGCCCAGAGGCCATTATGATCTGATGCACCACAGTGTATTACTGTGATTACAATTTAGTTAAATCTTCTCCCTGTGATTCTACTTATAATAAGAAAATATTGGGTGCTGGCAGGGAGAAACAGAGAGCAATGCATCTGCTTGATGGCAGTCTGAACACTAAATTTGAGTATTCATGAGCATATTTTTCACTGGATACAGTAGATCGCAATGATCCCTATGAAAGTAACAGGAATAAAAACAGATTTGAAATTTATTGCTGTGCAGCAATCATAAATCTGTCTGGGGAACACCAGACACATCCCTCGTTGCAGCCTCGAAAGCTTTATTAGAAGAAGCCATTTTACATTTGAGTATTTTAAAGCATTCTGTCTATTAATTCTCACATAAATATGCATTATTCCAGACAGAGCTGAACACAGCGCTGTCTCCAAACCGCCCGATGTGTTGAAATCACACATTCATTATCCAAGCTTGTTTGAGAGCTCAACAAAGTCAGTTAGATGTAAGATAAGGACACGCACACATGCTTCAATAACGATGCACTCGCACCGGGTCAGACGCACAATATTCACGTGCACGCACTCACACATTTGCATAGTTTCCATCCTTCCAGGACTGTTACATCTCAAGGCTCCTCCAGTCCCATTGTATCAGCTTTAATTAAATTGAATGTCGTGAAACTCTCTGCTTGTCTTAATGTTTCTTTCACTATGATTGGTCAGGACAGGCTCAACATCTGTTTAAAGGAATTCACCGGTGGCTCACAGCCGCACCCTCAGCCCCTCGCAACATATTAACACATCTCTTCGCTCTGAGTCAAAACCTGAGGTGAACACATCAAATTTGCGCCAGGCCCCGCCAGCTATCGGCAGCCTGTCTAGCTCATCAGATACAAATAGACCTGCATTTATTTCCCCCACAAGAAATAAGCTTTGCCAGTTTTACCTGTGTAATTCACAGCCAGGGCTTATGGACAAATATATAGCAGAACTTGGTACCACAGCAAGAGTATTCAATGAGACGCAATGTAGCCCCATGCAGGCAGCCAGGCTTGCAGGAGCTCTTGTCCAGGCGCCTCGGGGCTTTGTTTTCATGCGGCTGCTCCAAGCTCTCATACAGATGGAAGCTGGAGGCTGGCGGATGCTGGAGAGAGGAGAATGGGTGGGAGGGGAGGAGTGAGGGGTAATGCAATTGCTTTTGCTTGATGCCGGGCCCCTCTGGCAGCAGACAAGCATCTCTGAACCAGCCAGGCAGCCTGTAATAAGCAACATGGTTGGTGCCACCGATCCCCGTGTGGCTTAGGGGCCAACTGGAGTGCGACATGCTCAGCGAGGCCATGGGTGGACGTTTCAAGAGTGGAAAATTTAGAAACATCACCAGGCCAAGTTTTGTGGATAAAATATCTCACTCAAGCCTCACAAGCTCTTACAAATATCCTAATTGGTTGTGTTTCTTCCACCAGACCTGAGAAAGAACTTTGAGGAGGAGCCGCAGGGTAAGGAGGTGGCATTGGACCAGGAGGTGTTACTGCGCTGCCATCCCCCTGAGGGAGTGCCACAAGCTGAGGTGAGACACGGATACAGAGGATATTTATAGGCCCACATTTAGCATGCATTTACCCTTTCCTCACCAAAAGGACAAAGAGCAAAAAGTGGTTCGGGATCAGCTCCCCGGCATCTCTTGCTGCTCCACCAGGGAACAGACAACCCTGTACGGATAAATTACACCTCTAATTATTCCCTGTTATTGATTTATTATCTCTCTTACATCTCTGAGAAGCCGTATATCACATCGGCTCGTCACATCACTCAGGATAGGCTTGGAGGCTTCACTCCCCGTTTGGCATCTCTAAAGGCCTATCCATAATTAATGGGTCTATTTGCCTCACTCTCTTCCTATCCTATTCTGTCTCTTTGCCGTCTCTCCATGTACTATATCTCTCATACACTCTTGTTCTGCTCAAGTCTCTCTTTCTCTCCACGTCTCTGTGGTGTGTGTCTGTGTTTAGAGGACCAGACTGGGCCCAGCTGTTTCACCTCATCTGCAGCATCATCCCGGTCCCAGATAGGCACTAACTGCTCTAATAACAACATGAGGTGGTTAGGCCAGCCACTCAAACAGTCCGGTCTACCAGGAGCAGCAGACTAGCCAATCACAGCTGTACAGTGAAGGGACAGTTTGCAGAGGAAATGGGAAGGACGGTGCCCGCCGCAGTTCAGCAGAAAAGAACATCAGAGCAGAAGTCACCACGGCAGAAAACAGGGATAGCACACAAGAGAAAGAAAGCCCAATTATATGCGGCATCGCAACTGGCAGTAACAACAATGCTGCCGTACGGTAGCCACTCTCGAGACGGCATCAGGTCAAGTGAGAGCAAGAAAACAAGCAAGCCAATCTGAGAGTACACCAAAAAAGGAATAACATCAGTTTTGGCTTCTGCAAGAGGGCACAGAAAGTACACAAAGCATGATGGGTTACGCTCACAGACCACCAATAGCCGCAGAGATATGCAGCTGCTCCAAAATAAAAGCTGCATTTCCTTCACACAAAGAGAGTAAATATTGAAATCAGTACCGTTTATAAATTATCTGAGTCCATCTCAGTATCAGTATCATACCAAGCTACATTTGCTTCTCTTTTTGTATGTTTGATTGCATCAAAAAGGAGGTACCTGCACTGCTTTTTCTTTCTTTTCTTTTTTTTTTTTTTTTTGTTCATATAAAAATCTCTCATCTGCAGCATGTGTGGTCACTGTAGAGCTGCAGGGGAGGGGGAAAACGGTTTCTATTGAGATGCAGTAAAGTTTTGACCACTGAAACATATTTTCAGGTGGAGTGGCAGAGAAACGAAGATGTGATCGACCCAGCGAGCGACCCCAATTTTTTCATCACGGCTGACCATAATCTCGTCATCAAAAAAGCCCGCCTGGCGGACACGGGCAACTACACGTGTGTGGCCAAAAACATCGTCGCTCGCCGCAAAAGCACCTCTGCCACGGTCCTAGTCTATGGTAGGTGATCACTTCTTTCAGCAGATGTCAAAGCTCTGTACGCAGAGGATATTGAGAGGTCTGGACTTCAAAATATGCAAACATAAAATCAGCTCAAATGAATCCTGTTTTGCTTGCATGTTGCTTCTGTTTTCCTACATTTCCGCATTAACCTCTGCATGTTTTCTCGCATGGGAGATACCTGGGAGCACTTCTTCAATCAGGAAATTGTAATATTATATTTAGATCCTACGTTGCAGTTGTAATAATGATATGCAGTGTTACGCGTACCAGACATATGGTGGCAACCTGCATAAGCTATCTCCATTTTTCATCAAGCAGTGTATTACATAATCATAAATAACAACATAGATAGTAGCGTATCTGCACATTAATTAGCACAACTTAAATGTTACTGGCAGCCATTCTCCTGAAGCTGGCAGTCTCTGATGTCGGGGCTGCCATCTTCCTCCTCCTCTGTAGTGGATCCAATGTGAGAAGAAAAATTGAATTAACAGCAAACTGTAAATAATGACTTAGCTTGATAAGCAGACTGACCTTTGTTAAAATGCAGAGAAACAGCATTTTTTTTTTTTTTTTTATCACAGAGGGTTCCTTGGGTATTGGCACTACTAAAGTTTTGCATACATTACAGCCTGTCTTAATGTGCAGAAACATGCAATCAGGAAATGGAAATCACATGGGAGTGCATCTTGAAAGCAACTTTGTGCATGTAAGAAATTTATAATCTGGCAGAGTGTCTCACACATGGTCTGTTTCTGTTGAGGCTGCCAGAAAAAGACGAAATTACGATGTGCTGTAAAGTCAGAACAGCATTTCTTGTTTATCATGTCAGTAGAGAAAACACACCATATGCCACAAATCTACAGCGCTGTGTAGACGTCTACCTCCTCAGCTTTTACACAATTTGTCCTGCTATCAAAATGATTTAAAAATGAAATTGATCGAAAGGTTTTTGTTTTAGTTGTATACAATATATACAACTTTATCTACTCTAAAAATGTAACTGGTCATTTTTGTCACATTAATATATTGGAAATACATGAGAAACAGGGTATGCACTGTAAGAATTTTCATCCCTTGTGGAATCAGTGTGTCAGTGGGAATTATTTGATTAAAATTCAATATGTTATGCAGTTCTCATGTTGAGGTAGCAGCTACTCGAATATTAATTACCACTTAAGATTGCAGTTACGCTGCCTTTTCAGCCAACAAAAGCTCTCAGTGGAATCTCAGTGGAGTTTAGGGTGTAAGATGAATTCAGATTCAGAAAAAATGAACGAATGTGGAATGTGAGGGTCTTGTATGGAGGGGTTTTCGGATTGGTTGTAAAGAAAACATTTTCCTGTTCCCTTTACTATACGCAAAAACATGTGGGTGATATTTTATAGGAGAGGTCTTCTCTACTGCACACAGCGGATTACAGCGAGAAATCAACAGCATGCATTTACTCTTTGAGTTGATTTGTATTTCTGTTTTTACTTCATTTCATTAAGGTGCTAAATACTCAACAGTAAAAAAAGGAAACAGACAGTAAAAGAGATCATTGTGTTTAAGATCTTCCAAAAAACCCTGAAAGTCTTTTCGTTTAAGGGTAATTTTGTAGTTCAGCAAACTGTGCAAACCCTGAAGGGGGTCCAAATGTTGAAATAGCAGTGTATGACTGTAGTTGAAAATTGAGGCATGTGCACTTTCATGGTGAACGGTTTCAAATGAAATGTGTTAATTTGGAGCATGCAGTCAAAGACGCACATTATCATACACTTCTCCAAGCCTCCACCATTAAAATAAAGCAGAACAATTATTGTTAGTGTTGATTATAATTGATTAGCTTGTTGTTGAAAGACTTCTAAATCTAGAGTTGGAGTGACTGTGGAGGCAAGAGCATTCACACTCCTATTGTTTGCCCCTTTTTTTTTTTTTTTTTTTTTGTATTATCAAACATCCATTTTCACTCTTAGACCCAAGATATTCAGAACAAATTGCTGGGGTGCTTGCATGGGCAATTTTTTTTTCTTCTCATTACACTTTGTGTTTTACAAAATGACAATTGTATCACGATTGCAGTCTTAATTGAGGTTAATCATAACAGAAGAAGTCTTATTCCAAAAGAGGACCTGTTACTACTTTTCACTTATGTTTCACTTATGTTCCCTAAATAGCTAAAAAAGAAAAATTCAGTTAGCTGAGAACATCACAGTCCAGCATGCTAGCTGATGTAGCTAGCTGTAGCAAGTCATAATAACCGCTACTTTTCAAAGGGGGGTTCAACAGGGGGCCAGAGATGCATTTTAACAAGGCCTGGCTGGTGTGACTGCACTCTGTGCTAAGAGGTAATCAGAGGCTGAGTTGCCTGGCAATTTACCCCGCTGTGGCGAGCAATCAATCGCATAGAGAGGGCAAGGAAATGATTCAGCCACGACAAGCACAGGAGAGAGTTAGGGGGAAATTAGGAAGGGAGTATGTACAGAGAAGAAACGACAGTGCTGTTCAAGTCAATAAATCAGGAATCTTGCTATCTGGTAAGCTGAGGCAAACACAGTAGATACAGGAAGCTGGTTTGAATTAAATCAGTGTGATTTGATGTAATCACCTGCCATGATCGAGCAATACACCACCAATTATGTGCCAGTATATGGTTAAGGTTTAGAACATGGGCTCAGGTTCAGCAAATAATAGGAATTCAGCCCGCAGACTTTTTGAACTGTCTGAACTTTCAGTCTCAAATATAAAAAAGGAATAAATTATACAGCATTGTTCTCTACAATTTGAAGAATGTCTTGTAATGGTGTGAAATCAGTGTTGGATGTGTGAAGGACACAATGTGAAGTACAGGAACAAACCATTATATATATTTTTTTCCTGAGTAGGGTGATGGCATTTATATGGAGTATTTATGACTGTAAGCATCGGGATTTAAATGGCATTTCTTTACAGTGATTATATCCTGACTGTATTATGAGAGTTTTGGATGATGTCCCGCCATTACCTTGGTGAAATTTGGAGGGATATTTAACATGTCCACTAGTTACTTTGCAGCAGCTGTGTCTGAAGTCAGAGATGGCAAGCTGTCATGTTATTTTCTGCTCCCTGTTGAGACCATTTTGTTTCCTCTGCAGTTGGCTGTAATTCCAACTTAGACACAGGAAGCAGCCATCCTTTGCTCTTGGTCTTCCATTAGTTCACCTTGCAGTGCTGAACCAAAGAGTGTAACAGCAGTCACAATTATTCTAGCGCAACACTCCTCTTTTCCTTAGTGCATGTCGGGTAATCCTGGCTGCTCTGTCCCTTCATCCATCCACCCCTCCCTCCAACCTCCTCCCTTCCTCACCCCTCCATCCCCCACCCCACCCCTGCGCTGGTCTGACAGTCAACGGCGGCTGGTCCACGTGGACCACCTGGTCGTCCTGCAGTGCTGTGTGTGGGCGTGGCTGGCAGAAGAGGAGTCGGAGCTGCACCAACCCCACGCCACTGAATGGAGGCACATCCTGTGAGGGGCAGAACGTCCAGAAAAGTGCCTGCGTGGCCACCTGTCCAGGTAACTCCCAGGCAACCCCGTTTGTCCTGTGGCGCTTGGCTTCCTGTGGCTTCCTTTTTGCATTTTTTTGCATCTAGAAGTCATCAATTCATCTTTATGTTGGCTGCCCTTTTCTACCAGCACCTCCAGGTCTTTTCTTAGATGTCAGTGCTTCTGTTCTTTCCTGCAATTAGACCGCTTACACAGCAATGTCAGAGCCTATTAGTCTTCACAGTAAGGCTTCATCCTGAGAGTGATTTATTATTATCACACTTTGTTCACATATCCCTTTATCTTCTGCGCTGTACGCAGACCCTGTTTTTATTTTGGAGACCTGTCTGCTTTAAGAGACATGGTCCCAGCCATGGTGTTGTGTCTGACCAGCTAGTACATTTGTTATTGTTTGCTGCTCAAGCTATGTAGTAAATATAGGCCATAAAAAGGTGAATTATGGCAGCCTGTGTGCCATGTTTACTTGTGAGGAGTTGAGGGCGTTTCATTTGCCTGCCCGTTCTCCCTTGTGAGAGCGTCAGAGAGGCAGAGTGTCCTGCCTGATACTGAGCAACACATATCGATCCCTGGTAGCCTGAGATGCAAGTCAAGCTGCTTCATTTGCAGTCCCACATTAGCCCCCTGACAGGGGGAGAGAGAGCGACAGGGAGAAAGCAGCATAGGAAAAAGGAGGTGTAAGGTGGAAGCAGGGATAGAAACAGATGGAATCAGATACAGTGTAAGGAAGGCAGGAACAAAGCCCAGAGTGAGAGAGAGAAGAGGAAAACTGAGAAAGAAGCCGAGGAAGCCTGAGTGTGTACAAGAGCTGGCTGTTGGCTGCCAGCAGATCTGTCTGTGGACATATAGCTGGGGCACTGCAGCCATGCTGACCACATGAGAAAGCTCCCACGCTCGGTAAATAGCAGAAAGGGAAATCGAACACCCCTGGCAGTGGCAGCTTCTCCCTGTCTAAAACAAAGGTTATCTTCCTCAGTGAATCACGGTGTTGTGTTACACATCTCCCATGTAAAGACATCACTAGATGTCAAGCGTGTATGTAAGTAACATGGCCCGCTGGAATACAGCAGGAGGAGGAAGACAAAGGAAACGCAGGGCGCTATCTGGATGGATTTGGAATTATTAGCGCTGGAGCAACGAGTAATGGAATTAGAGGGGTGTCCAGGGATGCTTGATATTCCCCCATAGCAAAGCAGGATACTGACCTCCATGAGCTTAAAGAGATTAATGTCAGTCCAAGCTGCTATTGTTAGACCAGACCCCACCCTCCTCTATCTTTCTCTTGCCCCGCAAGGAGAAAGTGTGTAATTTCAACCCTTAGGGTGCAGTGACAGAAATTTCATTGTGCCCTGTGAACACAGTTTACAGAGACTTTGGGAGAGAAAGAGCTCCTCTTTTTTTCTCTTGATTAGAGACACCGCAGCGGCATGACCCCGCTCACACCTCTATCGGCCCTGTTGTTTGGCAACAGAGGGGAGTCTCTGCCTCCTTTTCTCACTCGTTACCTGTCTCAGACAGAACATCAGTGGCACAGACAGCCCCAGCTGTCGGCACCCAGAGAGGGTTCCCTTCAAGGCCAAAGTCCACCACGCCAGAGCCTGGGGATGATGGGCTGTTGTTTCCAATCAGGAGTGGCACTGCAGCTCTGTTGTGTACTCACAGACATGCCTCTGAAGTCCCCGAAGATGAACTGACTCCTCCTATCATTTGTCACCCAGCCATACACACAGCCCAGCAACGACAACCCCTAAATACATCTGAATCCTCACTTTGATTCATCAAATACATGATTAACACATGTATGAGTCATCAGCCTGAAGAGAAGCTCTCATATAAGAGTCACGCGCGGTCAGCGAGGGGTAACAGATGAGACCAGCTAACAGAGAGCATCCTTACATACTGGATAGCAACTTTAATTATCACTGTGCTTATAGCCTTCACAGGTCTAATCCACTGGATGCACAGTACATGGTGTTTTCAGCCCATTTCAGAAGAAAGAGACTTGAGAAGAATGAATTACATGGGGGGGTTTAATGCTGCAGATAGACATCATGTTATTTATTTAGACACGGCTGACATTTGGATTCAAAAGTAGTGTTCTTTATTTTTTTAAGTCGGCCTTGAGAGGCATTCTTTTCTCCACAGTGCCTTTGTTTTTGAGCTGCGTTATAAAAATTGCATGATTTAATGCTGGTCTTGTTTCAAGAGTTTATTAATTATCTAGAATAAGATTCTTTGTTGATTATTAGCTCTCTAGTGTATTTAACTTACAGCATTAGATCTTTGAAATGGGTTACAGAAAAATATTTAAAGATTTTTTTTTATTTATTTTTTTGCTGCTTATTCTGTGTAATTTGCAGTTGCAGTCTGTTTCTGTTTTGTCTAAAACACACTGATGGATTTGCTGTACTCCTCCTTTGGGGGGAAAAAAGATGCTGTCAACTGAATGAATATTTGCTAGAATCATATCAGTTTAAATTTGGAACTAACATCATGCAAAGGCTATAATTTCTCTCTGCATCGCCCAACTAAGTCTATATATATTTATTGTCGAAGTGCCGATGGCCATGTGTCGTTCTAAATTTAAATAGTAGCATGATTCCTTCAGAGCAGTGCTTAGCTACAGCCACAGAGGCATATTTTTCATGCACGTACTTCATACGAGCTTCCACGGACTTGCACCATCTACACCAGCCTGCTCAGTAACAGAACTCTCCACATGTCTATTCACGATGACTCTTGTATCTAAATGTGAGCTCCCACCTCTCATCAGGAAAGTGTGAAGCTAGAGAGGCTCATCTGTATTTTTGTCTAAGTCTCCAAAGTGTTTAATGAGAGTTGGCGGAGGCCTCTGTGGCAGATCAGATGGGCTACATGTTGGGAGAGACGCAGGGAGCTGTGGAGGAGGAGGAGGAGGAGGAGGAGGAGGAGGCTGAGGCTAAAGCCTGAGGCTCAGAGTAGAGCAGATCAACGTTTGAGACAGCAAGTAGCCAAACTATGCAAGAGCTTAATCTCTATTTCTCCTTCCTCTCTCTGCCTTCTTCTTTGCCTTTGTCTCCATCTCATTGCATCCCTCGCTGAAGTATCCCACATAATTCTGCAGTCCATCCCTCACCCTTCCATCGACTCTGCCCCTGCGCTGACTTGTGGTCAGAGCCAACAGTCATGGCAAAATGTCAAATCATGCCAACATTTCCAACAAAGACACTCAAACTGGGCCAACAACAAATAGTTAGTCCCCAGTTCTGGAAGCGGCACGATGACACCTGCCCCACACACAAACGAATTGAACTGTTGCCTGACGTGTTTGGGGAACAGCAAACAATCTGAAGAGATTTCTAATTTCTAACTTTGTGTGAATGATTTGAATATTGCATTGATCCCTCAGGCTTGCCAGAGGAGTCGTGAGGATTCTGCTAGATGGAAAATAAACAGACTCGGGGCTGGTGTATTTGTGCACATGTACTTGCAAGTGTGTGCCTGTGCATGTATGTGTTGTACACATGCTAGTTAGTACCCATATGTCTGCTGTCTGCACTTCAGGCAAATGTCTAATTCTGCTTTGGAAGTAAGCATTTGTGTGTCTCTGGATATTATCAGAGATTGTTCTGGAGACCACATATTTTATCCAAGGAATAAATAAAGGCGATGGCTAATAAATGTGACAGAAAAACACATTAGTTCACTGTGAAAAGACGGTGGCCATCTGGTGACAGCCTTGCATCAGTGCTGTTTTTAATCATTTGGTGCCATTTGTTTTGGCTCACCCTCTTCATCTCTCATTCTGTCTCATGTTGCTTGTTCTAGTGGTTTAGTTAACATAAGGGAGTTGACTGCTTTATTCACTTATCAGTTACATGCTATACCACAACCAGGGAGATTTAAAAAAAAAAAAAAATAGATCTTTAAACATATAAAAAATGTATCAGAATTACAGAATAATATTCAGTGATTTATCTCTGTTGCATCACCCACTTCTGTGGCAAAGCTATCAGCTCCCTTCATGGGTCTGTGACTTTTTTTTTTTTTTTTCCCCCATCAGCCTTTGAACACCAGGATTAGGGGTGGTTACTGTGCACACATGTGTGTTGACAGGACAGTGGGAGCAGAGGGGCGGCCTGCTAGTCTCAGTGGTAGGCTACTTGTCTACCTCCTCATGCTTCCCTCAAGGACACAGAAACCATGGGTGTCCGATGATCTCAGACTGTGTCTGTCAGCAGCCATTGTCATTTTGAACAGCAGAGCCTCAAACAGGCCCTCCTACCGACCTGTAAAGAATGGTCGGGTTCCTTTTGCTTCTCACCTTGACAACATGTCCAAATGGGGGCTTGCCACTTGGCTATTGTATTACTGTCCCTCCTCAGAGACCTGCCTGACCTAAAACCTGCGGTGCTGTAAGATTGAAAATCAGCTATGGTGCCTTTTGCAGCAGCACTAACAATCTCTCTCTGAGGATTTGATAAGGAAAACTGTGGCTGTGGATAACAATTTTCTTATGCGGATTCTGAAAAAGTAAAAGGATGAGGTTTGTTTCTGATTTCAGCTTCAAATTTGAAACAAAGGATATCAAGGAAACTGTCAATTTTCTCGCTTCACCGCATTTATTGAAACCACTTGCTATCTCTCCACTTCCTTTTATGCTGTCCAAACATTTCTTTAGTCTCTGCTCCTGTGAAAAGCCTCTTCTGTTTCTGAAATACTTACAACATATGTCTCGAGTCAGACAGGCCATCAAGGACTGTTTATGCATCTTCATTTTTCTTTGATTTTCCTTCAGCCTCGTTGTCGCAGTGCTTGTGTCTCATGAGCAGCACCCCGTTTCCACTCCAATCTCCTTGTTTGAAAATGTTATTTGCATGGCCATTAGTCTTGCTTTGTGGTGGAAAAGAGAAGTACGATTTCATCACCTCATCAGGGCAGATGTTGATCTCGTCTCTTTATTTCACAGTGGTGTGGATAAACTGAGGGGTGACATAATATATTCATTAGGATGTAATTCGCTATTCAATCATTCTCATTCCCAGCCTGGATAATCAGCCCACTGGCCCACGGATGGGTCCACTCAATGCCAAACAAGGACAATTATCTGATTGGTTCTGCTCTCTCTGCCAAATGGATCTGACTGAAAAAGGCCCGAGCTGTGTCAGCATTGCACCCCACACACACACACAAACACAAAAACCTCTTACATTCTCTCCCAATCATTTTAGGACACACATGGACAAACATGTAGACTAGTGTGGGAGCAGGGTCTAATTCACACACCTGTGCCTGTGGTCTGAAATGCTCACAGCGGCTTTTTAGTTGGTTTTCTAATTGGGGACTTGCTCCAAAACCAAATGAAATCATTACTTCGCACAGTTATGCAATATTACAGTAGGTATCTCACCCTGAATTACATGTCACCATCTCTCTTATGTTTTATTAACCAAAGCCTCAGACCTGCAGCAGGTCACATCTCCTCTCTGGGGGTCATGCCCCCTGCACTCTTTATTGCAAGGATTAATGAGCACTAAGGTTTCCTTGCCCTTAGGTCAGTCAGGAGGACGTTGCTGCTGTCATAGAGGTGTGCATCTACTCTGTGTGCGTGTGTGTGTGTGTGTGTGTGTGTGTGTGTGTGTGTGTGTGTGTGTGTGTGTGTGTGTGTGTGTGTGTGTGTGTGAGAGTGAGAGAGTGTGTGAGTCCATTCACCCTTACATTTGGGAGAGAGAAAGAGCCAGATAGTGGCGTTTTTCCCCCATGAGAGCTCATTACTGCTCTTTTTCCCCTTAGCCCTATGGCAACCTTCCCCAGGCCTATTGCCTAGGCCTAGTCACTCTCAATATCACCCCCCCCACCCCCCTGGCCACAATGTCAAATTACCCCCACCTTTGCAAAATGGCCTCCTTCTCTGTGTGTGGTAAAGCTGCAGATATTTCTTACAGCGGGGCGTGCTCAGAACTATTACTGGCCCATTTCCATTTGTTTCATTTTGCCCGTGCTGATGGTGTGTTTGAAGTTATGGTGAGGCTGCAGGTGCAATGTACATTCATCTCTGTTCAGAGTAATACCACCTGTATTGTGTCTTGCATTCAGATACACTACAGGTAATGCTCATGTTGCTACAGTAATAGCTTGTTTATTTTTTTCTGACCAACAAATCAAACCAAGGCAGATTTGTTTGCTCTCACAGATGCTCATTTTTTATGGGAATATTTAAATAGAGATATTTGTATGTGCTTACAGAGTGTTTAACAGAAGACCAGAGGGCCAATTTCCCAGGGGTCAAATTCTTCTCCCTGTTCAGATTTATTTTGTTGACAGCTGGGTCTACCAGGCCACAGCACCCTTGTACCAGTGGGGTTTAGCTTAGTTGCATCTGATTTCCATGTTGAAAATAAACAAAGAGAGCAGAATAGAGACAGTATGGCTCTCCTCAGCAGTTTTACACGCTTTGGTTTCCCTGTGCATCTGCTGGATTTGAGTGTGTGCAAGTGGATTTGCATGTCTTTATAATGCTTTCCCAACCAGGTTTCCATTTTAGAGCGAGTGAATTTGCACAGGATGGCAACAGAGTATTCTACCAGTTGTTTTCATCTCGCACGCAAATACACCACCGTTGCATCTGAACTTCACTGTGTAAAGTTTTAACATATATAACTTGTTGTGTATATATATATATATATATATATATATATGTCTTGTATAACTGCTTGTACAAAGAAGTTATAGCTTGTTATATTGAAACTGTTCAGCATGGTTTCCGATCAATAGTTTTTCCCTGTGAACTAAGATGTTTGAAAGTGTTTGAAGTGAATCAGTTTGACTTTTTGCTGCTCTGTGTGTGTGTGTGTGTGTGTGTGTGTGTGTGTGTGTGTGTGTGTGTGTTTGTGCTCGTGCTCACTCATGGTTTTATATTATGTGTCTTTGCAGTCGATGGAGGCTGGAGCGAGTGGAGCAAGTGGTCGGCGTGCGGCGCAGACTGTTCAATGTGGAGGAGCAGGGAGTGCACCCAGCCCTCACCTGGCACCGGGGGCAAAGACTGCCAGGGGCTCGACCTCCAGTCTCTCAACTGTACCAGCGAGCAGTGCCCACAGAGTGAGTGAACTACCACCCACATACTGTAAACCACACTTTCACAGCTTAACTCAGTGGAGCAATAAAAAAGATACAGTATCACATAGTATTTTTTTAACCACTTTTCTGCAACAGAATCAGTAGACAGGAGTTAAATTATGTATTTTTTTCGTATATAACTGAGGTGATGATTTGCAAAGCAACATCCTAAAATCAATAAATGTGCCCAAAACAACTTTTGAGAGCTTTAGCCAGAAAATACACCACTGATCTAATAATAAAAAGAAGCGTGACACTCTTAAGGCCAAGGTAGAAAATGTATTCAGGAATAAAAAGCATGATGGTTCAGTCCTGCAACTTTCATCAGAGGCAACAGCAAGTAGATCATAAACAGTACATGCAAAATGAGTGTACTGGATTAGCATCAATTAGCCACTGAACAGAGGCAGGTAGAGAGGAAGGGAAAGAAAAAGGCTTTTCTCTTCCCTTCATATTTTTGATTACATTTTACACTTTGGCAGGAGGAGTAAGACTGTCCTCCTCCGCTTTTTACCAGATCAAATAAACCTTTTATGTCTCCTTATGGTGTCAGCTTGTTGTGATAGATGTTGAGTGCATCTTACAAAATGTTCATAAAGGAAAGATGTCCATCTCATAAGACACTTGTACCGACAGGAGAATCGAAGGCAGGCCGCTGCTGCCTCGTTCCAACCTGCGTGACCTTTTTAGACAATCAGTTCTAATTAACACTGGTAGGGCACTTGCTGCTAAGATAATGTACAATCTTTTCACCTGTGTCCGCTTTGTGATGCTCTCTGACCTATTAATAGAGCTGAGAATTAAACCATCTCTCTTCTGATTAAAACACCACCTGCCAGATAAAGTGTCGCGGGTCCAATCAGCCGTGAAAGCGCACATGGCCGGCGTGCGAGTGTGCTGTGATTGTTCTCAACGTGTATTTGTTTTTATTTGGTGTACATGTATAGGTAGCAGCATGACCAGTGTGTATTCCTTCTTGGTGTAAATCAACCAGTGCTGTGTTTGCAGCTCCCCATGTGTCATTAATAGGGCATGTGCGTACCGTCAGGATTAAAAACCGCAAAGCTCGTACTGCCCGAGCCGGCAGCTGAGTGGAAAGCGGCACCACAGGGTCCACTGCCGACCAGATGGACATGAAGGGAAAGCTCTGTCGCTCCCCACAGATATCAAAGACAGAAAGCTATTGCAGCTTCCCATCCAAAGATGATGAGTCTCAGGGTGGCGTCTCATAGAGAAAATGTTATAAATAGTTCACTCTTTGGCTGAGCTGCATGGTAAACACTGAGTTTTAATGGGGATTCAGTTGACATGGGCCAGTGAATTAATAAACTGAATTATGTATTTTACACTGATTGACATGATCAGATAGACCAATGCAGCGGGCTACGAGCCATTGTATGTGAATGATGCATTGTGTGTATGTGTTTGCACTTTGTGCGAGTGTGCGTCTGTGTGTGCGCGCATCAATAGCTGAGTTTGGCTGGTGCAGTGAACCAGGGAGCTCAGTCGGCCCATCATCAAAGGTCAGCAGCTCCTCTCCAGAGAGGCAAGATATATACACAAAGATGCCAGTCATTGTTCCTCATATGTACGCGCACACACACACACACACACACACACACACACACACACACACACACACACACACACACACACACACACAGAGTCATTCAGTATTTACACTGACAGCGCAGAGCGGAGCACTGGCCTCTGAAGAATGCCTGTCCCAATCTGTTCCCAGCAGATGTGTTTCCATAGACAATTGCTGTGTGAAGTATTATAATAAGCAAAATAGCAAGATGGTTTTGGCTTGTCAGCAGCTCCCATACTTCAACCACGTCTGCAGGCTATTAGCTGAGATGGAAAACTTCCCTGTGAAACAAAAGGCACCCTTCGCTTCGAGTGTAATCGAACAATGCAACTGCAGAGTAAGCCGTAGTTACCCTGCAACAAAACGTCCTCTGTCTGAGGACCTCACAAACATCTCTAATCTCCCTCATTAGGACAGAAATGGCATACGTTAGATGAGGTTATTGTTTTGGGTATTGTATGCATGAGAATCAATGTGCGGCAGCGAGCTTTGTGTTACAGCTCGAAAATAAACAGATCTGACCCAGGCAGGATCATTTTCATAAAGCAAACAAGCAAAGCCCAAGATGAAGCAACACAAAATCTGTGCAGGGAAATCATAAATATGCTGGCAGCATGCCAGAGCCAAAATGGCAGACAGGTGTTAGAGGGCACAAAAAGGATAGTGGGAAAAATAATGGTGCAAGTATTCTCAGGCACAGGAAATTAGGATAACATAAAAACAATTATTTGGCTTAATGTGTGTAATGAAGGTAATGAACTTAATTTGCAGCCGAATCGTGTTTTGGGGGTGTCGCAAATGATTGTGCAAAGCCTATAAAACTATAAATCTGTCTTAATCTGTTTTTGAATTGGGGGGGGGGGGGGGGGTTAGGTGGCGAGGCGGCTGATGTTTTCGTCATGGGTTTGTTTTGTCAGAGTGGGGTCACAGGCTGCGTGAAAAATGGCCCAACATTTATTTCGGGCCATTTTTCATCAGGGCTGGCTGAGGGATGGGACGACTGTATTGTGGAGATAGTAATGGTCACGTTCACTTTGAGAGTTTTAGTAGCCATATTTCCCTGACCTTAAGAACTCCACTGTTATTCATCTTCAGGCGAGTGACTAGGATTGGCCATGGGATAAAATATATTCTCAGGTCTCTTGATAAATGCCTGGGGAAGTGGTGCAGGAGGCTGCAAAGCTTTTATTTATCAATGCTGGAGAGAGAAAGGAGCAGGTGAGTTGAGTACTATCAGGTGCAGACAATGTGCTGACTGCCAATGCAGCAAAGAGTCCAAACTTCAACAGGAGCCAGGTACATCGCCTCAGAGGAGATGAATTATAAGTCCACAGCGGACCATCTCAAGTCAGAAAACTGATCCCTAACCAGCCAGCCCTGGAGCGAGTCTGAGGAGCAGAACTGAAAACTCAGGGAGAGAAGGGAACAAACAGAGATTGGCCTGGGGTCAACTCTGACATCCATAGATTAACCGCAGGCGGTGTGTCAATCATGCAGAGAGGTCACACACAAAGAGAATCAAAAGTTCTTAGCCAGCAATTACGTCAAGTGGAAATGAACGATGGAGTGATGGCTGACAGAGGGAGGAAGAGAGGTAAATTGGTAGTGTGCGTGAGAGAGAGAGAGAGAGAGAGAGAAAGGACGCGTTAGAGGGGGACTAAAGTAAAGCCCATCCAATTATAAAACCTGATTAGCTATGTCAATTAAAGTGTGATGGATGTCCTTTCAATTATTGGCTGGCATCATGAAAATCAATGAGTTGGGGGGGGACAGGATGAGCTGAGAGCAGTTGCTGGTCAGGTTTGCAGTGAGCGTCGGGATCGTTTCACTGTGACACCTGGTGGGTCAGATAAAACTTCACTCAGTGATGCTGCGATAAACCACCAGAGATTACAGACAGAATAGAGGTAGAGAGAGATACAGAGAGAGGGGGAGAAAGAGAGAGAGAGAGAGTTGTCTGATTGACCGACTTTATTGTCTGGGTGCAAGAATGGTGTGTGCCGAGGAAAAGGAAGTCAAGATACTGGATCTTTGCATCGGAGGTTAGCGAGGTGCCTTTGGTTTGCCCTTAGAAAGTAAACAGCAACTGGCCAATCTAAGGCTATGTTTATCCAATCAGCAGAACCCACTTGGTCTGTCTCCTTGCTGACGGGTGTTGTTTTGTCTTTAGTCAGACTGCACATCCCGCAGTAGACTGCAGCGCTAGAAGCCCAAATGCCACAGCTTCGTCTGGCCTTTGACTCACCAAGACAATTGGATTTGGGAACTTTAATGAGAGTTTCAGCCGTAGTCTCTCCCCCTTTTTTGCAGCTCATTGTAAAAGGTGTAAGGTTTAGCCAGGCTGCTTACTTTTAAGCACCTCTATGCTTCCCTGAGGAGAGAGACACAGAGAGGGGAGTCAGAGGAGAGAGGCACAGGCAGGTTAATGGAGAAGTTGAGAGGTGGTGGAGGACGGGTGTGTGTATCGCATAACGCTCTTCACGTATGTGCTGTACAGATGTGCTATGTAATGTCAGGAACCAAACAGGCGACCGCGTGTTTATCTTCAGCCGGTCTTTCACAATTGATTACATGTCAAGAGATCCCCGGCATTACGAAGGGCCGCCATTGAGCTTGGCTGCATATAATCCCGCTACTTAAGGTATCAGATTGTACTGAGATAATCACCCATGAAATAGATTCTGGCATTTCTCTTAAAGACTTGGGTATGTCAGGTGGCTTTGTCCAGAAAAATTGATTTTTCAAGGCAAAAGGAGAAAACGAGGACAAATGGATGAATAGTGATAAATGAGACGCAGAGAGCAGGAAAGAAAGAAACTTTTTTGACCCTTTTCTCTTTTATTCAAAGGTGACTGTTAGCACGCTTGTGCCATCCTCATGTCACAGATTTACTAACACCAATTAAAACTTGTCAAATCTGTGTTTCCAGGGTTGAGCCAAGTGGTTCCTGTCAAGTGGTAGGATCACACAGTGGTGGAAAAAAACCACCACAGTCTGGAGATATTCATCAAAATATGTCGTGTCTAATGATAATCAGGCTGATTCTGACACAAACCTTTTGGACGTGTTATTGCTGCTCATTGCTGAAATGCAAATCATGCATGCTGTCAGTCATAGGCACATGCTGTCTCCCTACTAGTCTTTTTTTTTTTTTTTTTTTTTTTTTTTTTTTAATTTTGTTTTTTTTTTTTTTTTGTCCTTCTTTAATTCTGATTTTCATTCTTGTATGTTTGCTCTTCTCTCCCTGCTTCTGTCCTCCTCCTTTTGTTGTCAACTCACCACACGCCAGCCTGCAGCACTTTAACCTTTGCTGTTGTTCTCCATCCCTCAAAGCTGCACTGCTCAATGCGTCCCCTCCTTGACTGTGTTCAGTTGACAGCACTACGCCCCCGTGGCTCCCCGGCACAATGGCCCTCCACAAAGGCCCCAGGAGCATCCTCCACCTCCGCCACCAAATTCCCCCAGCCCAGAGAGACAGCCGTAGCAAATCCCATTCTCCTGCAAAACACACACACACACACACACACACACACACACACACACACACACGCGCACACGCACAAAATGCATACACACAAATGCACGCACACATTGATGTTTGTCTGAGCTTAGCTGTCATCTTTATACTGTACTACTTTTGGGAGAAAGATGCTGCTATGCTTTTGAGAGAGAGAAAGAGAGAGAGAGAGAGAGACATTCACAAAGAGGTGGTAGAATTTCATAAGCAAAACCTTCATTTTTCCACAGTCTCTCTTGGGGGTGTTGTGTGCTTAGAGAAGGAGAAAAGGACAGAGGAGACAGAGAGAACATGCTGGTATAAGATATATTTATCCAGTGCAGAAATGAAGGTATGTAATGTTAAAAAATCTCCGACTGAAACAGTTTTTTTCTCCTTTTCAATTGTCCACACGTTGACAATGAAGTTTTTAGACTCAAATCAAGACAGTCTCTATCATTTGCTAATGCTGGCTCTCTTAACTCTGCATCAAAGAGTCAGGGACAAAGCCAAGCAGCATTAGGTGGCAAGCAAGGAATGTGGAGCTGATTTCATGCTGTCAAGTAGATCCTCATGTGACACCTTTGCACAGACGATAATGAAAGATGTTGCGGCACCACCGACATGTATTACCATTCACCTGAGGGAATTTCTTTTTCTCATTCTTTGTCCCCCTGTTGTAGCTGTGAGCGGGGCAGAGGACGTGGCGCTCTACGTCGGCATGGTGGCGGTGGCCCTGTGTCTGACACTGCTGCTCATCGTGGTGATCCTGGTTTACCGGCGCAAGAAGGAGGGCCTGGATGCCGATGTGGCGGACTCCTCCATCCTCACCACTGGCTTCCAGCCCATGGGCATCAAGCCCAGCAAGCCAGGTGTGTGGGCACCGCGGCCACGCAGGCCTCCCCCCCACAGCAGTAGGACACTGTTCTTTGTTCTACCCTCGTCTGTGCGTCCGTCGGTCTGTGCGTCTGCCCACCGTGACCGTGCAGCACTCATCTACATGTACCACTGATCCTGTGTTTGTTTGTGGCTGTGGAGGTGGTGTGAATGTGTTTGCAGTGGTTTGTAGTCTAAGCAAGATGTATTATGTTGTGTGTGTGTGTGTGTGTGTGTGTGTGTGCGTGCGTGCGTGTGCGTGTGTGTGGCGCATGTGCTGTTTATTTGCCTGACACATTATGTTTCGCCACCACCTCATTGTCAGGAAATGTACCCACTCTGTTTACTGTCTGTGTGGAGCCTCTGAGGTTTACCAGCGAGTAATAGAAATACAACTGTCTGAGTTGGATGGAGATGGGGAACTGGGTTGCAGTGCCTGTGATTCACCGTGAAAAAAGCCTTTATACATTCTGGGTGCTAAGCTGTATCTGAGTTCTGTTTGGAATTGATTGTGTGGTTGCTAAAGAGACAGACAGAGATAGGGAGAGAGCGAGGGGAGGGGAATTGACTGGCTTTGGGTGGAATTTGTGTTTGTGTATTGTCAAGAGTCTGTGCGTGTGAGTGTTCTGTTCTCAGCACCATGTGTCTTTTCCTGTGTTTGTTTCAGTTTTCTGTGTGTGTTGCGACAGCTTTAGTGAGTGTGAGGTCTGTCTCTGTGATGTATGAATACCCCCCAAGCCCCCGCCCACCCCCCTTCCACATGCCACTCATGGAGATTCACACATTTGCTATTGTCTGTTTCCCTTTTTTTTATTATTTAAACAGAGAATTCCCATTTGCTCACCATCCAGCCTGATCTAACCACCACCACCACCAGTTACCAAGGCACCCTGCGCTCTCGCCACGATGCCACTGGGAAGTTTTCTATGACCAACGGGCCTCTGCTGGACCCGCTCCCCAACGGCTCGCACACTCTGCACAATGGCAAGCTTAACTCAGACCCTGCTGAGTTTGTGAGCAGGCTGTCCACTCAGACCTACTTCAAAACGCTGCCCCGCGATGTGGCTAACACCTCGTATGGGACCTTTAACTTCCTGGGAGGGAGGCTGACGATCCCCAGCACAGGTGGGTTCCTCATTTAGGTGCATTTAGTTTTCTGTCTTTGAGACCTGTAGTTCAGTTCAGTTGGTTTTAACCAAGAATAAAAGATATAATGCTGCCTTTTAGTTTTCAACTTCATTGTTCTTATAAACAAACCATTAGCTGCAAACACAAAGTCATATGGACTGACAGGTAATTCAGTGACAGTTTCCTGCAGCATAATGGAACCATGACAGCAAGTCCTGCTGCACATTACTGCAGCTTATGTGTCTGAGCTCTTTGTAAACGTCTTTCCATGGTGGTCACAAAGAGCTCATGAAGAATAATAGAAAATTATTGACAAAACAGGAATTATTTTCTGCCATAATATTTTAGATAGTTGCTCTGTAGTTGCCATGTTTCACTTATTTTTAACGAGGAACTAAAATGTAACGTAGGACATAAGTCCAACATCTCTGTTTTAACTCCTTTTTACTCTGACATATCAGGAAAAATCCCCTCACGCACTTTATGATGACCAAATGATGTTGTTTAAATATCAGCTATACATTGGTTTTATACAGAAAATCATGTGCTTTGCTTTCACACATCACATCACTTCAAGCTCACAGCTCATGGTTCATTTGTGAACAGCCAGTGCGACTATGAACCAGATCAGAGCTAGAAGACTACAAAGTATCTTGTAGGTAAAGTGTGAAAGCACACAGAGGGTGCTTGGTCCTGTCTATAGCTACACCTCTTTGATATAGTTCAGGCAAACTCTGAAACAAACATTAAATCAATCTGCTGACCATCGGAGCTGACAGCGAAGCAATCTGTAGAGGCAACATACAGACGGGTGATAAATTAAAAGAAAAACCTGAATAATTGAGAGGAGAAATATAACGAATGTGGATTCTACCCAGCTGCATTGCATGGTACAATTAAACCTGCAGTGCAGAAACTTTTGTCTCCCCCCTCTGGCAGTGGGAGTAATCACACAAACAGCACTGTCCACGGAAGAAAAGCCACGCCAATGGTGATCATGTCTGTCCTCCAAAGTTTCTTTTTTATCAGGAGCATCAGAAACTTTTCTTAGATGCTTTCTTGGTTTTTTCCACCATAGGTTCCGCAATACTCTTACTTGCTGTAGCCTACCCCGTCTCTGTCGCTGCGGTTGTTCCCGTCTTCAGCTCCAGCGAACCAGTCGCTGCTGGTTGGCGTAAAAAACACATTGCTATGTGTGGGCCGGTGCAGGAATGTCTCCACAGAGATTTAAAACTTTATGTACAGTATACTGCAAAATACATAGATATACCTGGCGCTGATAGGTACAGTCAGCATTATATGAACTCGTTCGGCAAGGGCTTAAATGTAACTGACGTTCGTTTATATGTAAAAGTCCTGCACTCCAGCTTCACGCAATTAACATTCAGTGATTCTGTGTGGAATGTATAGAAATGCTGACCAGGTCCAGTTGATTCTGATTTTGTATCAAGACGGCAAGAGGAGGAAAAGGTCTGAGTGGCTCTGAAAGAGGGTTCATCGTTGGGACGCAAAGGAGGAGTTTCAGGAAATAGGGTCGGAAATTGTAGTCGACACATTTGACGGCCGTGATGCTCGTGCAGTAGTGCGTTATGTAAGGACAGACAGGAGAGACGCTCTCTCTCTCAGGTGACTCAATTTATGCAGGATCATTCGGTAACCATGGCAACATGTATGCTCATTAGCACATTAGAGGGGCCACACTGTAACTACCCCCACAACAACATTATACAGTAAAATATTACAGAACAAGACTCTTCTGTCCGATATTATGTGACATATGAGGTATATCTTTTTTTTTTTTAGCTCTTTGTTGCACCAGAGAAGACAAAAATTAATGAAGGGGAAAAAAATGCATAAGGTGCAGTTAAGAGTGCAGCTTGAACTGGTGTCAGTCCGTGTAGCGCTAATGATACTGGTAGATGACAGTCCCGCAAACTGTTCAGTCGATGAGTTACCTGCCAGACCATGATTCTTTCTGTTCACAGCTCTTGGTTAATTTGTAAAAAGTATATTATTTTATTAACATTTATTTTTCTCAATTTTTTTGAGGTCTGGACCAGTTTCTTGCTTCTGACTATAACTGGTAAATGTGATATATGACAGCTCTTGAGTTGAGAAGATGAGAAGGATTTTTAAAGTTGGACAGTTAAAATACAACAGTTTTATTCAGGTACTGTTTCAGTAGACACGGCATCAGTCAGCAGAAATCTGTGTTGTTTAAGGACAAGGAGATTTCAGCAGTCCTCTTTAGGATATTCTGTTTGTCGCTATACTTCACATAAACAGTTTAACATCTGCTGCTAAATTGAGAAATACTGTGGGAACAAGTCAGTTTTATTCGTATTGCAAATGGCATATACATTGTCATTGCGATTACATAAAAAAGAACATTTGCAGAATATTTATGACATGCTTTAATGCCCCTGACTGGACATTAACAAGGACAGTTTATCAGTAACAGCTGAGTCCCATAAACGTCTCACTGTCTTGTTGAAACCGACCTGGACCATTCAGCCTTTAAATCTGGTGCATGTGGGTTTCTTAATAGGTTTGCACCAGGATAACACACATTAAAGTGTTTCAGCGTTAAACACAAAACAGCTTAGGGCACAGGCTGCGTTTGTGTCTGTGTTACAAATGAGTTTATAACCGTTATAAGGAACAAGATGAGACACCGGAAATGTACGAAGAGCTTGTGATTAAGGTGGATTATGTGCGACAGGCTCACTTGTTTACCTCTAAAGGGACTAATGCAAAACTTAAATCAAACAAAAAAGCAAGTATCTAAAATGCATGGTCGAGTAAAATGGGTTGTCAATAACCTACATCTATACTGCACCGCATGAAGACTAACTATAAAATTATGAGTATGTGCCAAATATGTTCCACTCTGAACGATTCCTGGAATAAAACCTAGGACAAATTGTTCCAATTAGGCCCCTCGCTTATGACGGAGCTGGTTGAATTTGTAGCCGATGTCCACCAGTGTCAGTTGTGTGCTAAGAGCATAGACAGAGGAATAAAAGTAGTCCATTAAAGATTAGTCTTTATAAAAGATATAAGAAGCCCACCGTCATTATTTTCCTTCCCCTCTTCACATTAGCTGAGCACAGAGTTTATATAATTATAATGGAGGACAGTGTTTTCACTTGGCTCATTGTAGACTGTCCAGATTAGCCGATGACAGTGCCAGTATGCCAGCATCTTGTGGGAGAAAAGGTTTTTTTATTATTTTTTTTTTCCCTGCTTTATTTTCCATCACATACTCTCTCTCTCTCTCTTTCTTTCTGTCTCTTTTCTTTGTCTCTCTTCTTCTCTCTTACAGATATTTTATGCATAGATTACCTCAAAGCCTATACCACGCATTGGCACCCATCTTCTCATTGGGACACACAGAAAAAGAATGAAAAAAAAAACTCAGTACTTGCATGCATCCACTTAGAGGAGCTATACTGTCATTTAGCACAGTTTCAGAGCAGGCACAAGGAAGACATGGTTTATAGATTCAGACAAGGCAGTGAGCGTTCAGGCACCTTCGCCTTATTCAAACAGATGTTTTTATGGTGAACAGCACCCAGTTTGCAATCCACAGACTGTTAAGATTGTGTCACATAGTTACTGTTTGTGCTACATTTTAAATAGGATTGTAAGTGGCTTATTGGGCATGAGAATCACAACATAAATACCACAACACTCAAACTACCTCAATAGCTCTCTCTATCCTCCAAGGTACATTCCCTCTTGGGGAAGTGCAATTTTCCTGGAGTTGTCTGTTCCGTGGTCTCAATTATCTACTTGGTGGCAGACGGAGGACATTTAAACTGCGATGCAGTGTGCGCTTTTGTCTCAGCTAATTGTTGACCGTGGGGACGTGTGCCGCCTCGGCTGCCAGTGCAGAGATTTGCATCTACTGCACCTGACGGAGGCTGCCTCTGACCTTCAGAATAGATTTGTTTTTTGTTTTTGCAGCCATACAGTTTTGTCGAGTGGGCCGGCTTCCTTTGTGAGATGACAAAAGTGTTGTTCAGTCAGAACAAATGAGCCTGTCCCCCCCTCTCCTCCTTACCCCCCCTCTCTCCCTTTGTTGTTATTTGCATTAGGAATCAGTCTGCTCATCCCTCCTGAGGCCATCCCCAGAGGAAAGATCTATGAGATTTATCTCACTGTTCAGAGGAAGGAAGATTTAAGGTGGGTCTCTTTAACACTGCCTAACTGGCAGTCTTCCCTGGATGCCACTAGGCTGTTTGTTTTGATGCTCTACTGTTCCATTAGGAAAGGCTTAAGAGTCTGTGCCAATACTGTGGAGGAGGGATGTAAATAAATAACATAGCCTTTTACCAGGATGTGCACTATTTAAGTTAAATGAATTGTTTGGAAAACACTGTTTATCTGGCTTGCTGCATTCAGTCTCTGAAGGCACAGTGACTGAAGCACGCTGTGAAAGCCTTATATTCAGTCATCACAACTTGGTCCAGCTAGTCAGTGAGTCCAGTGGGATTTCAATATTCTCTGTTACAGCTGTTAGATTTACAGAGGTGACAGTATCATATCCTGCTTACAACAGGCAAGTAAATGAGTTATCACTAATAACTGGATGAGTAAAAGCTCTTCATCTCAATTCATTCCCCTCCCTCCCTCTTCTCTCCCTGGTGTAGGTTACCCCTGGCCGGCTGCCAGACCCTGCTCAGCCCCGTTGTGAGTTGTGGCCCTCCAGGGGTGGTCCTGAGCCGTCCAGTTATCCTCAGCATGGACCACTGCTCTGACGCATGCCTCGATAACTGGGCCGTCCGCCTCAAGAAGCAGAACTACGAGGGCGCTTGGGAGGTGAGACAGCACTATAACTCCAGCACAAATCCTCTGTAGAAAGACAAAGTCTTACTGAACTTACTGAGAGCTTTCCTTGGAAAAGTACAAACTTGCTCAGCAGTGACTTGACACTTGCGCTGGAAAGTACTGAGTGCTGTATAGAAGAGGTAGTTCAGGCCCGGCACTCAACCACTCCATAGGGTTTAAATTATTTTGACCATCAGGTGTTTTCTCATTGGGCTGGAACAAAAGCCTGAGAGCACTGGTTCTCTCTCCGGCTCAAGAGTTGCTAGGCAACATTTTTCTCAAAACAGAAATTCTCTAAGCAAATTACTGATCCTCAAAGTACTCTGAGTGCTCCTTGACCAGTTTTGACCACTGCTTCCAATTACAGAGTTCCCTCCCCATTTTCTGCCCATGAAATTTGAAAGTAACCAGGACTGCCGGACTCCAATATGATAGAGTTGGAAAGATCCTTTGGTGTCTACACACACACACACACACACACACACACACACACACACACACACACACACACACACACACACACACACACACACACACACACACACACACACACAAACAAACACGGTTTGAGGCAGTAAACCCATCTCAGCAATCCACAGAGATTGGAAAGGGTGCTGGTTGGCTTTAGTGTTAGTAGGTCTTCTTTCATGTTCGATATTGTGCATAAATTATTCATCCTTCCCGTGTGTGGCAGCGGTGGGGTGTCTGTGCGATGGATTGGCCTGTCTGAGGCAGAGGTTAGACCAGCACTTTTAATCATCAGCTGGACCAAATATAGCCCAACGGCCTGACTGTGTGGCCACCAAAGGAAGAAGTGGCGGGTGGGCAAGAGAATGGAAGTGGAAACAACCACAGAGAGTGTGAAGAGAAGAAAAATGAAAGAAAGCAGACAAAGAGAGAAAGGTAAAGTGAACAAGCAGGTAATGTAGAAGTGGAGGAATCATTTGAAATAGTTGGAGATGGGAAATATGGCTCAGGAAGGAAGACTTACAGAGATGGTGAAAATGGGCATGCAGAAGCAGGAGAAGTAAGAGAAATGAACTGCTGGTAGAGCGAGAGCTCAGTGGTGTAATTGAGCCAGCTCACTCTCTGCTGCACTTGGAAGAAATATTAAGATGATGAAAAAGTGAGACTCCATTGTGGTTGCATAGCAAATGAATTGTGTCAATACTAATTCTATTGATGTAGGTGGTGTCTGGTTGAATCGATCCTAGAGGGGCTCGCTGGGCATTTGGCAGGCAGAATGCTCCTCTTCAGCTTGATTGGCTAATGGGAGGAGTCAGTCAACTGGCATGATGGGATTTTAGAGAAAATGTTGTCACCTTGGGTACAATTTATCCCCATCAAATTAGCCCAGAGAGCAGTGGAATTATCTCATGAAGCCATCTCATACTGTGATGGGATGGGATATTTTTGCCAGTTTGTAATTTCTTAGTAGAGTAACAAAGCAAGAAGGACACGAGATGTCACTTCACTTCACGTTTAAATTTGTCCTTTTTTTTTTTTTTATCCTTGGCAAATTACAGCACCAATTAATTCTTAGTGCTGCCTTTTGGCATGTTTTGTTTGTTTGTTTGTGTTTTTTAACACGTCTCACCATCAGACAACAATGTTGGTTGGCAGATAATTTGGCAAGTTGTTTTCACCTTTCTTAACAAATCTCAAAGGCTGAAGGAAATTCCAGAAATCCCAATAATCCGATACTTACAGCGCCTCCACAGTCTTTTCTTTCTCCAGAACCATCCGTCCTTGCCAGGAATCTATTTGAGTCTCCTTTCATGTCAATTGAGTACCTCGTTCATGCATTATTAAGTAAATTGATGGTGTTCTATAGGATGTGTGTCTTTGTATGAGGAAATGTGTGTCTTTATGTCAGTATGGAGTAAGCGCACTGTGGTGAAAAGGGAATTTGAAGCAAGCGCAAAGTATTTCCCTTTTTCCCCCTGATCTGAATTGTTACCAAGGCATTACCTTAAAGACCTTTAGCTTGGATGTTACTTTGTCACACAGCAGGAAGAATAGAGCGTGGGGCCTTACTACTGCACCAAACTACTTCCCTAACAACCCTTTCACAAACACACACCCACACATACAACACATCAGGCACCCAGGCAAACACATTACCCTTCCCTCCTACATAAATTGGGTGCTTGACCTTCCATCCAAACCTTGTTTTTCTTGTCTCCCTTGCCTCCTCCAGGACGTCCTGCTGATGGGGGAGGAGCTGGTGTCAGAGCCCTATTACTGCCAGCTTGAGGCCGAGACGTGTCGGCTGTTCTCAGAGCAGCTCGGCACCTTCGCCCTGGTGGGTGAGTCCCTGCACATGGGCGCTGCCAAGCGCCTGAGGCTGGTGCTCTTCTCCGACGCGTACTGCTCCACACTCGAGTACAACATCAGGGTGTACTGCATGGACGACACGCAGGACGTCTTCAAGGTAAATTGTGACAAATGTGGCGTTGCCTGTCATTGTGTTCGGCTGGCGGTGTCTCAGGCCTGAGATTGCATGGACTGGGTGGTTTCACATCAGCTTCGTGATAGGTAGACTATTATGTGTAACAGCATTGTCTGTCACATTGGAAGGTTAGTGGGAATCAGTGCAGACATGTAGGAGTTAGGCAGAGCCATGGTAAATTGAACAATATTGTAGGCTTGATTACACCATGTGCAGTTCAAGAATGTGTGATTTGTGAAGCGGATGTCGTCCGCCCCCCCCGGCGCCCCCCCCCCCCCTCCCCCCCACCCTACTGAAACAATGCATATGTCCAGGTTAATCATGGTATACTGTACGATCTCTGTGTATTTCTGTGTGCATGTCTACAAAGATGTCTCATGCCTTTCATGCAGTCCGTGGTTCTGCTTGGCTGCCGTGGGCCAAGAAGTTTCCCATCACTTTGTTCAACAGCATATTTCGCTTCTTTTTTTGCTCTCCACATGGACAGAGTATAATCAAGCACTAATGCCTTCTTCCCTCCCCCGAGGACTGCCTCTGAGTAGCCTGTTAAGATTTCATTTGCATGGTTAATTAGTAAATTAAAAGGAGAGCCCGTCCCAATCTTTTCCCAGCAACCCCCGTGCTCGCTCTCTTTCTCTCCACACCTCTCTTTCTCTCTCCAAGCTGTTCCTCTTTCGTCTGACACCACCCACAGCCACAAGTGCCACTTCCCACTCGAGTCCACTTCTGCCGGCTGTAATGGCTGACCTCCTTGTGCACAAGTTCGCCAGCAGGCACAATCTATGGATGGCTGTGGGACACAAACAATGGGCCGAGTAGGGGCTCGGGCTGAAATTAGCACTCACATTCAGGGAGCTGAAGATGAAATGAGAACTGTGCATAGACTCTAGCTGTGGGATGGGAATTACCAAAACAGCAGCTTACATCTGTCTTTTTGTGGCTCAATTCTGCCCCTGCTGCTATCGTTCTCTGTTTCTGACAGCTATTGCGTGAGAGTAGGAGAACTCAGGAAACTACTGGCTGACATTCAGCTGTGTTGTAATGTAGGAATGAATGTAAATTACAGCACACATGAGGGTAAAGGCTGTACAACGGGTGTTTTTTTTTTGTTTACCTCCTATCAAAGCAGTTCTAACAATAGGTCCCTTCTCTATATATATTCAGATCATCAGGTGACCCAGTGATGTTTTGCTGCAGTGTGATTGTTGAAATGACCTTGTGTGTCCTGTGTTGGATGCAGGAAGGCTGCCGGTGCACAAAAACTCTTGCTCTCTCTCCGTCTCTCCCTCTGGCTAGCTCTTGTTCTGCTATCCTCCCGCTCTCCTAGCCAGGAAAAGGACATCTGAGCTTGTTGACTCCAGCACTTGTGCTGCCATACTCTGCGGCTCCCTCGACGCCCTTGAGTGCATTAGCTCCCCGTCTTTCACACAACCTGGTCCTGTGGTAAGCCGCGGCGTCTCCAGGGTTTTGTAGTTTTTAGTGAGTGATTTAGATCGGGGGCCCACACTGTTTAGTAATCTCGACTTCACACTGCTCTTAGAGCTATTATGGAGGGAGCAGTTCATTTTGCAAGTACATTAACCACTTTGAGTGGAGATTAAACTTCCCTGGAGAGGTTCAGTCTAATCACTAATCACTATCTTTAAAATGCACTATTTATGATTAGAGTTTCACCATAGCTACCATTAGAGTTAATTGTAGTGTGTAACAGTGGAGGAGTAGCAGTAGGTGGTATAGCAGAATAGCATAGTTATGTTTGTGTAGATGTACAGTACCCCTTCAGCACATGTGAATTTTATGACAGCTCTCGCAGCCTGCTAAGGCAGTGCAGCTCTTTTTTCCAGACAAGAAGTCAACTTTCCATGCATTAAACAGGGTGTACTTTTGATGGGAGATGAAAAAAAGAGAACAGAAGTTTCCGAGCAGGCATTTCTGTGCCTTTTCTGTTTGCTGTTCAGTGGCAGGAAGAACTGGAGGTTTTCTCTCCAGTCCCATCACTGGCTGTCAGTCTGTTCTGACAAGCCTCCATCAGTGAGACTGACAGATACACACACTCACAAACACAGGCGCACTAGCATGCATGCTGTACCATGCAATCTCTTATCTCCCAATTACAGCAGATTAGAACCAATGTTATTGTCTTTGATCCTAAGTGTGCGGGGGCTCTGGGGAAACAGTGACATTTCCGTCTGATGCTTGCCGTATGTTAGCAGGGCTCTGCTGGGACCAATTAAGTTAATATTTAATGTGTGTCCCACTCTTGATGGGCCCAGCCAAGGCTGGCACAGCAGCAGACGAGACATGATCAGCGTTTGGTAGTGCCCTCACCGTGCACTCGGTTGTTCCCTGCTAGACCTGTGGGTTAGCATCACTGATGTTCTGCCATCCCACTACTGATTGAAACACCTGCAGCGAACCCAGCCTCTGAGTCAGTGCAGAGATAGACCTAACATCAACATTGAATTAAACTGGAAGGCTGCCGACAAAGGTGTCTTTTTACAAAAAGGAATATGGTGCAGATACTTTTTTCATGTTTAGTTGTGATATTCAGAATCTGTCAGCTTTGGGTGTAAAGGATAAAATAAATAAAAAACATGTTTTCAGCTGAGCATAATCCAATTTTGAATAGTGGAACAACAACAAAATATTTTGCTGTTTATTGATAGTCTAACTAAATGTTCTTCCTTCACACCCACGTGTCTGTGTTTTGTAAGAGTAGTGTTGTTAAAAAAAAAACTAAAAAAAAACACGTAGAATGATTTTTAAACCACCCACTTTCTGTCAGATTTATTTTTTTTACAGAGGTTGAAGCACAAGTCAGTTTTTCTGTCTTGAGCAGTAGACTTTTTGAGACACTATATATATTGTAATAAAAATGTGTGCTGTGTGGGAATTCTTTTAACCACGGCATCAGTCTGTCGATGGGTCCGCCACTTTGGTCCAGAGTTATCTACCCAGACTGTTGGCTGAGCTGCCATGTTTTTTTGTAGTTATCCATGTTGCTCACAGGATGAATTGTAATAACTTTGGTGATCCTCTGACCTCCTCTCTAGTGCCATCATCAGGCCACAGCTTTAATGTGTCTAATACATTGGTTTGACTAAATACCTGCAAAACTAATGACATTCCCATCAACCTCAGCTACTGATTAGCAAAGGTTAGCATGCTACCTGTGAATCTACAGCAGTGAACATGGTAAACATTACACCTGTGTAACATCAGTAGCCTACAGCCTCACAGACCTGCTAGCATGGCTGTAGACTCTTAGTCTTGTTAAATCATTTTTCCAGTGAGTTTCAATTGACATTTAATGGCCGTGAAATTTCCAAGTTTGAGCTAACTCCCTTTGTACTCTAAGCATTGTATTTTAGACGACAGAATTTACCCTTTCGTTAATGTAACGAGGCCGACAAGTTCAGCTTTTTGTCTCTTGATTGTAAAAATGTATGCTCCATTGTTAAATGGCTGTTTAATTGATGCCTTGGTGGTTAAATCGTGGCTCCTGGATTCTCTTGCACAGCGTTTGACCTCAAGCTATTATTCTTATTTGCGTTTAAAAGGAGTCATAAACTGTTTATGTGCTCCCACTATGACGTTTGCTTGCTAGCTCCTGAGCAGCGAGCTACATTTGAGCGGAAACTTACTGCTTTTATGTGTCAGAGGAGACCAGCATGTACATAGTGTAACACAAACAGCTTTTGTGATCCCTCCATCAGAATAGTTACTGGCAAGGAATTCCAGGAAAAAACAGAAGAGCACAGCCCAGTAATTGCTGGCATTAAGTTAAACGAGACAGTCAGCTTTATCACTGTGCCCAGCTGAGAAATTGTTTCCATATTATATTTCTCTGTTCCTGTGTGCTGTTTTCTCCTGTACGGCTCTGTGATTTATCAGGCAGAATGTGCATCTTTTCCCTAGCAAACACAGTCCCCATTTATAACTGAGCAGACAAGTCCCTTCTATTTGTAGTTATTAATCAGAGTTGACTGTAGCAGGCACGGCCACTGGAGCTCAGACTGATAGACTCTCAGTCAGAGAGGAAAAGCCTGTCACATCCTGCTGACAAATACACAGATTTATGGAGCCCACATAGCCAGGCTACTCTCTATAAACAAATGCATTTGCCTGAAAAGAGCAGCTCTGAAAATGGATCATCGCTATGAATGCACATTTTTAAACACATGAGGACACAACATTGCTAAGAGTAGAGGGGTGAGGACAAGTTTATGAGAATATTAAAGCCTGTATATCGCTCTATGTTTCAGATGACGTGTAGCTTGACTAATTAACTGATCAAACGCTAGTTATAATCCCCGTCAGAGCCCGTTAAGTTAATCAGTTTATTACACACCACGCCAGGACAATAAAAGACCACATGTAAGAGCTTGACCTTGCTGTGAGGAGTGTAGAATATTTTAGTCTGAAGCTTTGAGCCAGTCAAGTTTTATATATATATATATATATATAATATATGTATATGTAGCTCCCTGCTAATACTTTTTTTAGACTGTGTTTCTCTCCTGCGTTCGTTGGCTGGCTGTTTTTGTTTGGTGCAGCCACTAACCTCTTTCTGTCAGCACCAGCCCGGAGAGATTAGCTGTGTGAGTGTCTCTTGTTTCCCGGTGGAGCCCGTCCCCAGTCCATCACAGTCCCAGCTGTGGTCCGACCCGAGAGGATGAGGGGATGGGTGAGGAGAGGGGTGGGAGAGATGAGTGAGGGTGGGAAGGGGGTTGAAGTCATAGAAAACTGTGGCCATGATTGCAGTAATCCTGTTATCTCTCCTGCTAAAGCTGGCCACTCTAGTGACCCGGAGACACAAATGTTAAGCTGCCTCTGTCTCTCTTCTCTCTTGCTCCTGCTCTTTTCACTCCATCCTGCTCTATCTCACTCTCTTTAGCCTGCCTCATTGAATGTCAGGGGGTGGTCTTGGCTCTGCCTGACTCTAAATTCACAGTCTTCACACACACCACAGGCTATCTCGAATTCCGTCAGAACAAAAGGGGTTTTTCTCCTGCAGTACTTGAACTTCTTGCCCATCTCATGCATCTTAATGTTTTCACAGTTGTACAGGGTCACGGTGTCCAAGAGAAACTGCTCTTCTTATCTTTACTGGAATGGAAACACTATTTTAGCTCCCAGTTGATGATAAATATGTGATTTGATAAACTAATTCCAAACCTTGCATTGTTTTCCCCCAGAAAGTGTAAATAATATGGTCACATTTAGCTTCTCATCTATTAGCCTGCTCACACTGTCATTTGTTAACAGGATAATGGGGCGTAAAGAGGGCCATTATTCTCTCAGTTCAGAACATATGCTGAAATCCTGCGCAAGAACACACACTCTGATACGCACACACACGCAAGCAGGACAGTGTCGTTTGAAAGTGAGGATATGTGCACACTGTAAAGGAGCAAGTGCATCATCCCCATGCTCTTGTAGTTTCCCCTCAGTAAGCTCAGGGTCCCTGTCAAGTAGCAGGAGTGCCTTGTCCTAGACCCTGTTTGATTGTAATCCTGCCGTGTCAGCCTTGAACCTGACAAACTGCTAGACAGGCGAGTTAGTATTCATTCTAGTAGCTAGATGTTGATAATCAGATAATTGGCATTCTGCACTCATTCTCTTGCTAGCAGGCCCATAGATCTGCTGCTATAGGTCAAAGACCCGATCAAAGTCCACCAGACCCAATTTGCAATGCTAATAGCCCCCAACAAATAATTGTGGTTAAGAACTGTGTTAAATGAACCTCCCTGGAAGCCCTCATAATGGGCCTTTTGTCTGCATAAGAGACATAATAGCAGAGGGATTTTAATTCTGTGGAGAATGCACTGCCCCCTGTTATTAACTCATTAGACCCCAACGCTTTGATTCAGAGCCATTGTCTGACCTTCCCTCTCTGAGTAAGTGGGCTGGGTAACATCACAAGGCTCCAGCATGGCAGTACAGTAGGGAGATGATTCCAGGTAGCCACACACTGTCAGATCATTGTGCCTCTTTAATGCTTTTTGGCATTTGGTCACAAAGAATAAACCAATGTAAATGCAGGAATCGGGATAGATGATCCTGGTGGGGTGGGGGGGGGGCATAATATTCATGTTAACAAGAAGATAAGCGCTAAGCAAACATGGAAATTAGCATTGCAATGAACAAACATGGAAATTCAATTCTCGAGCTGAACCGAAAAGTGCTCATTCAGTAAAGGGGAGAGCACATCAACTAACAAAAGCAGGTAGAGATTCCAAATGGATAATTAACAGCTCTCTCTCCATTATAATTGGAATCAGTCTAGCCCATTCCTGGGAAAGAGGGCAGAAAATTGAATCAGTGTTGTGCAGATAGAAATTACTGCCATTCTCCACCTTAATTGGATGTCTTTGCTGAAATCGTACCATGGGCAACCGCGCCGGCATGCAGCGCTCAACATATGTCCGGTATCTATACACACATCTCCCTCCGTTGTCTTTGTGATATGTCTCCTAGACTACAAGGTATGTTCTGGCTGCCTGTTTTCCCTTGGCTGCCATCTTGTCTCCCTCCCCAGACAGATGAAAAGAACATATCTTATTTCTGAGGTCTTTTCACACTACTAATTTCAGAGGTCTGTTTTTCTCTGTTGTAATATGCTTCTCTAATCAGTGTGTGTGGTAGCACATGTGAGCACCTTTCCAAAGCACTGGGTTCTTAAGCACTCGCTCAGCACAAAGCATCCAGCTCAAAACCAAGTGATAGATCAGAGGAAAATGCGGCGGATATTATCATCCTGTTCCAGATGGTCATTTGGATGGCAACAAATGGTCCACTGAGCAAGTCCCACAGAGATTAAAATATTAAGCATGCTTTTACAAATCTCTCCTGGCACAAAAACAAAAATGAAATTAAGGAGATTCGCCATGCGAGAACAATGAGCAGTTGACTAATGGCTCGTTCACTGACTTCATCACAGCCCAGGTAGCCAGTAGGCCGAAATGGCAGCAGTATTTGCATGCTAATGCAGATGCTGAAAGCTGGGCGCGCACACACTGAGGCAGGGGATCAACCTTGTGGTGACATTAAAGCGCTGTGAGGACAAGTCGGTCCAGCCCGCTGCGGCCACATGCAGGGACACTATCTTCATGTCCTAAGATGTACTGTACCCCTGCCTCATGCTCATGCTGTGTGTCTGTCAGCATGTGTGTGTGTGTGTGTGTGTGTGTGTGTGTGTGTGTGTAGGTTTATCAGCTTGAGTCAAATTCTTTGTATGTTCCGGCCACCATTCATTTCTTGATGCGCCTGTGTGCATGTACAGACAAATTCCTGTTTGAAACTGTACAGTTTTGTGTGAGTGATGCACCATAAAAAGTGAAAACAGGAAATCTACACAGTTATGGATTGTTTTGCACATTTCCACTTACCTCTGTGACCGTGATGGTAAATGCGTTTCCTCTGAGCCGTGACTCCTCTCCTCTCCTCTCCTCTCCTCTCCTCTCCCTGCCGCTGTCTCTCTTTCATCAGGAGGTGATGCAGATGGAACGGCAGCTCGGGGGTCGGCTGATTGACGAGCCTCACGTCCTGCTTTTCAAAGACAGCTACCACAACCTGCGCCTGTCCATCCATGACATGCCCCAGGCGCACTGGAGGAGCAAGCTGCTAGCCGGCTACCAGGTGTGTTGGGCGGCCGTGGGGGGGCTGCAGGGGCAGGGAGTCACTCCAGATCAGAGCGGGAGCACAGAGATGTAATACAAGTGCCTTGCTGAATCTGTCAAATTTGTGTATCAGCCGGTATAGCACTTTCTAGTGTGTTCCTTTCTATACTCAATTCAGTATCCGTGTTGTCTCGAGTTATTTTAAATTGGCCATCCTGATGAATTGAAGAAGAATGGAGCAGGTGTTGGCAAAAGTAATGTTACTGAGTAATCAAAAGTTCTTCAGGGGCAACTTTTTATTGTTAATGAGGGTTCATGGTCTAGTCGTCTCCCTGGAAACTTGTTTTAATTTTAGTTGGTTCAGAGTTTTAATTAAGCATGTTTTGATTTGGCTTCAGTTGATCACTTTAAAGATTAACACAAAGGGGAATTTTTCAGTGCAGGACTCCTCTGTCCAATAACTTCTCAGTTTTTGGCACTGTGTGCAACTTCAAGTCATTTGTTGTAGTCGAGGGAACCGTTTGGGTGTGTGCGCTATCCTGTGGATAGAGTGTGCATGTGTTTGTGCGGTTGTTCCTGTGCACGAGGTGTATATGTGTGCATATTGTAGCCGGGGTGTGTGCACTAACCCAGAGCTGCAAGCTGATTGATTATCCTAGCTGCCTGCTCTCTCAAAGGGAGCACAGATGAAATATAGAGCACTATGTAAATATCTGGAACTTCACAACCCTGAATCTTGGAACCTCTCCACCCCTACTGCACTCCGTACACCTGCGTGGTCCACTGCACTGCAGCCCGGCGACAGAGACAACGGGGCTGTTCAAAGGGGACTAGAAAATGTTTCTGGCTGTAACTATGTAAGCACTGAGCACCAGGTCCCCAAAGAGAACACACGGGCTGTGCCAAGCAAGCAGCGGCAGCAACAATGCACCCAGAACAGAGGCTTATTACTCTGGACTGTGCCTGTTCATTTGGAAGTGTTATTCCCCTCTCAGCAGTGCGGTCAAAAAAGGCCTTTAGTCTCCCTGGGGCCCCATGAAGACTTTTGTGTGTTTCACCCAGCTCCCTACGTCCCATGTCTGCCTGGGTAACAGTGCCCCCGTTTGGTTAGCGGGATGAACTGCAGCTTTACGAACTACTGAGTTCTTGTCAGCTGTTGAGCCAAAGGTGAAGTGAGGAGTTAGCGAGCTTTGTTTTCTTTTTTGTTCTTTTTCAGAGTTGCCTGTCTGCTTCTCCTGGGATATGCAAATAAGACATGAGTATAGGGCAACAGAGAGAAAGATGTAGGAATTGTCAGCCTTGAGTAAAGTCTAGCAAACACCTCTGGTAGCCATTTGCTAGACAGATGTTAGTGCTGTACAGTGGTAGTACTCAAACCTGTTATGCATACATATATAATAAAAGGTGTGATGTTTCAGCTTGTACACTATCAGAATGATTTGTAGCCCTGCCCAGAAATGCACCACCTACCTGCAGAGAGAGGCCGAATCAACTGCACAGTAATGACTAAAAAATGTTCCCCGTGCCAGAGATAGTCAGACAGCGCTTAACTTCCTTCACAGAAACACTGTCAGTGTTGTCAGTCTGCTGCCTCAGATATATTTAGCCATTTGCACCTAACGATGGCAGCTCACGTCAGTGTAATTAATGATGATCTCGGTGTATTCGAGGCAGGCGGTCCTGTTATGGCGTGCTTCAGACATGCAGTACTGACTGTGCCGCTGTGGTGCCGTTTGTGTGAGTTTTTTTTTTTCTTTTCTGCAGGAGATCCCGTTCTACCACATCTGGAATGGTTCCCAGCGGTACCTGCACTGCACGTTCACTCTGGAGCGGCTCAGCCTCAGCACCTGTGAGCTCACCTGCCAGCTGTGTGTGTGGCAGGTGGAGGGGGAGGGGCAGAGCTTTAGCCTCGACTTTAACATTGCCAAGGTAACATACAGCTAACTACTACTACTTAAAGGAGGAAAGGAATTGATTTTTTTATGCTGTGCTGAGGGAAAAGTTTGTTTTCTTTTTGTCATTCCTACCAGGACACCCGAGCCGTGGACTCTGAGTTCCTGTTAATGGACAGTAACGCCACAGCTCTGGCCGGGCCCAGCGCCTTTCAGATCCCTTACCTCATCAGGCAGAAGATCTGCAGCAGCCTGGATGCCCCTTGTCCCAACGGAGCCGACTGGAGAATGCTAGCACAAAGACTTAAACTTGAGAGGTAAATACCAGCTGTAGAATACCATACCGCCTTATCTCATCAGTGAGTGTTGGAGCACGCGGGACAGACAGCTTATACAAAAACCTCTCAAGAAATGCAGCAGAGCCTCATTTATCCAAACCCCCCTTGAGAATAGAGTACATTTACATTGCATGTACTTTTCACAGCGTATGTTAAATAATGAACATACAATCACACTGATTGTGAAGGGTCTTAGTACCGCAGGGGTTAACAGGAAACTTATGAAATTTCAGCAATTTTAAACAATCAACGTGAAGTGCATCGCCAACGGTCGAGTGTTTCTCCTGAAGTTCAGGTAAACAAGGTTCTGCCTTTGCAAACTAATCCTTTGACAGAGCTAACATTACAGGATTAATGTGGACTTGATGGATACAGCTATCATTTCTGTAAGAAAACATGACCCTCCCCCTCCTCTCTCCTCAGGAACAGGTAAGCAGCTTAAAGTCTGCAGCTAAACTTGTACGTGCTACATTCTGCTTAACAGCTGTAATTGGAAAGGTAGCGAGCTAGCTGCCCATCAGAGGCAAAAAAAAAAAAAAAAAAAAAAGATGGAATAGGTTTGGATCTGTGCCGACATCAGACCAATTGGTTCTAACAGTGACTGTTCTTTATCACTGAAGTACCTTTAACAGAACGGAGCTAGGCATTGATCCCTTATCCTCCCAATTTAATTTCTACTTTGTAATGAAATCAAATAGGTACACTTAATTTGTCTAATCAACTTTATTTACCCCAATTAATCACAAATTGAATTGATGCACTACAGGTTTAATTAGCAATGTTTTGCTCAACATAATCAATTCCTATTTAGGCCTCAGAAAGGAACAACTGCTCTGTTGTTTGATCTGTCCTTAACAACATGTTTTCCTGAAAAGGCAGCAGCTCCTTGGCATTCTGTCGTGCTGGATTTCTGTGTTTGTTTCTGTGTGGATAAAGTGTTCTGACCGAGCGGAACGGGACCAATCTATAAAACTTAAAAATGCCAAGAACCTTTTATTTGATCTTTTCCTCCCAAGACTGTGCAAACGGCTGTGTCTGAGCCATACAAGATAAGCTCGTGTTTCACACAGCGAGGTGAATAAGCAGGGTTGACACGTCGGACACTAAGCTCTGTCTTTTTTATCTGAATAATGACACTGAGGTTCATTCCCAGACAATTTTTTTGACCAACACTTCTCTTTGTTGTGCTCTCCCGACGCAGAGGGAAGGCTGTGTGCGCTATAAAATCCAATTGACTCAAAATAGCAGAGTGACACTGTGTTTTCTGCTTGTGTACTGCCAAAGCAGCCACATGTTTATAACCATCACAGGATGCTTCACTAGGCAAACAGAAGATGTGAGGAAGTAATGGACTCAGTCTGACCTTTGTCAAGGTGAAAAGGACTTGGTGGCGTTTTGGGCTTCCTGTCTCACCCCCTCCCATGCGGCAAAAACACTCACCCAGCATCACAGTCCCTCTTTGTGCCAAGAGTTAACGCTGTACTCTCTCTTGCTTTTTTTTTTTTAATGTCACATGGTCTATGTAACAGTTAAGACCCCAGACATTTGAAGAACAGAAAAAGGCCATTAAATCAAACAAGCATCTTCGGGTACCGTGGAGATCAGGTCCCACTCAACATCAAATATACAGCTGGCTGGGGCCACTGCTTTGTTGTCATTGATTGGGTTTGATCGTAAAGGTTCCTGCTCCTAAAATGGAAAAGGTCACTTCCGACTTAACTGTGAAAGTCCATATAGGATTTACTATATGGGATTTAGGGCCAATTTCAACATCAAATAAAGAGGAATGAGGCTTATGCTGTTAAGCCTCAAATGAAAATTGCCAGAGATTCTGTATTTGATGGCAGTTTGAAGAGCTCAACTGTGTTCTTTATACCTTTCATCATTTTTTTACTTAGTGCTCCAACGGCATATCAGGATGTAGCAATATAACACAATAAAACTTGACATTGACAGAGTTACAAGAAGCAGCAGCACAATAAAATACTGGCTGAAAAGGTTTTCCTAAGACTGTTTCGGCGGAAAGAAAATGAGAGACTGTCCGTCTTGATGTGTGCACATTGCTTGATTTAATAAAAATGTCTCATTGTTCCCTCACTGTTATTTTTTGTGTTCTCCTCTCTCCTCCTCTCTGCAGACACATGAGTTTCTTTGCATCCAAAGCGAGCCCAACCTCTGTGATCCTGGACCTGTGGGAGGCACAACATTTCCACAGCGGCAACATCAACCAGCTGGCCACGGTCATGGCTGACATTGGCAAACAGGAAGCCATGATTTTCCTGGTCTCTGATGGCGAGTGCTAACCCAGAAAAAGGGGAGAGACTGGTGTAGAGGAAAAGTACACAACACAACAACAACAACAACAACAAAAACCACCACAACACACACAAAAAAAAACAAAAAACCCAAACAACAATAACCGCAGCAGGAATCGAAGAGCAGAGCTGTCCCAATGTCCCTCGTCTTCACTTTAGAAGATAGTAAAGGGTTTGTTTAGGATTGAGTCCCGTTTTCCCTTTGATCACAGTAAAAATCTTTAAACGACAGACCAAATGAGGGAGAAGGTAGAGTTTAGGTGTGTGGGGAAATGTATTCATGAACTCAGTCAATGAAAATAGCCTTTATTTTCCATCAGAGATTGAAGTTAAATTAGTCCACACCCTGGTTCTACTTTAAAGATCACCTTAAATTAACTTCATGCCTTTTATACAAATAAGCCATTTACGGCTAACAAGGAGCAATATGCAAACATAATGCTATTACTAATGGCCAATATTGCAAATTCAATGAATAATTTTTGAACTTGAGTTATGTATTAAATATTAGATAAAAGGGATGTGACAAAAGGTGCCAGTCACTTCAGGTTCAAGAGAACAGGCGACATATGCAATTGGCAGGTTCGTTATATATGACATCTCTCACTGAACACATTTTCAACAAGGTCATCAGGGTCTGTGAACGCCCCCCTCCCCATCCACTCCCCGAACCCCCAGTCACAGTGTATAGATGGATGTCTCCTGTGTGTCATTATCTGTTTCTTTAAACACACACACTCACACAGGCGGCTTGTAGCACACCCTGGACTTACAGGTTTCAAACAGATTGTATGTCAGAGCCCCCAAAAAGCCCCGTCTCATCTTGTTTGTGTGTTTTTTAGTCCAGCCGGTATCACTACTGTGAATGTAACATCTTGATTCAGCAAGACGCTTCGCAGCTTTCCTGCTTCTAAATCGATATATGTGGGGTTTGGGGTTGTTTGAACTTTTTTTTTTTTTAAAGGGAGGAGTGAGTAATATCTTCACTAAAGTCATACTGCAGAAGCCATGTCTATTTAAAGCCTGTGATTTTGATCTGTCCAATTTATTTCAAGTCTTCTCCAGTCGTTCATTGTGGCATTTTTCTGTTTCAAATTCCACCGCTAATGAAGGAGCCATAGGGCCGAAAGGCATTCCAGCTGCATATATGTGAACACTGAATGTCGTCAAAACTCATTTCTAAAATGACATTTTCCCCTTGATTACATTAATTCTGTGGCAGAGGAGATGTTAAACATAAAAAGGTGGCCAAAAGGGTTATTACCCCATATGAATAATGCAGAGCACTTTCCCACAGAAAATCTGACGGCAAATACTTCAAGATCTTTACCAGGTTACTCACGTGGAGAGGGTAATTGTGCAGCTTTGTTTTTATAATTCATGAATGAATGGTGGTGGGAATTCTATATTTGCTGTGTGGTAAATAGCATTTCCACATCAGAGAAATGCTTGTCTCTCACAGAAAGTTAAGAGTGGCTTATTCATATTGTCACGCCTCTGCTCACAAAAGATGCTTTGAAAGGGTTTTGTTTTTTGTTTTGTTTTGTTTTTTGTCATTTCTAGCCAGCATGGCAAAAAACGATCCAGTAGATTCATGCAACAAACCATAAACTGCAACTACGCATTTGCTTATTTTTATATTTCGCTTATTTGCATTAATTTACACAGTTATTACTTTTTTTTTTCCTTTTTTTTTATTAATGGATCTGTCAAGTCAGGCAACATAAACACAGAGTATCGTTGAAGTCCACTGATTCAGTAATTATACTTTGTAAAAGGTGTCAGCAATCCCAGACTAGCCATAGTTCTCTTCTCCGTCTGCCTCAGGGTTGCATGTGAAGTTGTCTGTTCAAAGTTTAAAGAGAGCCCCTCTCATTGAATCCCCTCTCACTCCCAACAGCTAGCACAGCCCCATCCTACCAGCTCCTGTGGCTTCAACCTTTAACACTGACTGGAGCCTCTTTTATGATTGTCAGATATTTGGAATGTACATTTATGTTTCCTTGTAGTGGGAGGAAAGTATGTCTTTCTTTTGTCCTTTGTTTTTTATAAGGCATCTGAGCACCTGTTAACTCCTTAAGCTTCTCTGCCATCACATTCAACACGCCTCCTCTCAACCAACAATGCTTTTTACAAATCGCTCTATTATTTGATGTAGAGATGCCATGAAATAAAATGTTTCCCTTTTTTTAAATTAATATTTAAAAAAAAAAAAACCTTGAGCCCCTTTCAGATAAAACGGTGATACCACCTTAAATGAATCTTTTCATGTTGAAATGGATCATCGTCACATGTAATATGTAAATACTTTTTCTATTACCAGCCGTGTGCTGTCACTTTGCATACTGTATATCAGCAGAATTGGTAACCAAAGTTTTATGAATATCATTTGAGGCCACTACATCCTCATGTTGTTTCAGCATTGTTTTACTTGCAGCTAGTATAGAACAAGTCAGAGTTGCTGTCTCTTCTACTCTGCGGACTGTAAAGTCCAAGTCATTACTTTATTATTCATTTCCTCACGTTTGTTTTTGAGGCAAATTAATGCTGTTTGTTCAAGCAGTAATATGTGTCGGTTAATTTTATCACTTTGTAAAGAAATGTAAATTATATTTTAATATAAAGCCAAAAAAAGACACTTAACTGGCGCAGCATTTGTCAAGTCTAAACCGTGACGTGTTTGCCTATATACTGTTCTTTGGCGATCTAGCAGTGAAGACTTTTTGCAGTGTTAAGGGTTTAGAGACTGTTTTACAGGAGTTTCTATACATATTTTGTTTGTCCTTACATTGCATTCGTCTATCTGATTATTTCTCCAACTGTAAGCATTTATATACAAGGTGGAAACAGTCACCAGTGCTTAGTGAATCACTACACCGGGACTGTGTGGAGGCTAATTGGAGAAGGAGGACATCAGTTCTTGGACACTGACAAGCCAGTGTTGACACAGCATGTTTAGATGAGCCATGGCAGTTGTACAGTCAGACTGTGTGTGAAATTTTATCACCCCTGTCATTGTCTTGGATGTGTTGTCTAAGCACATTTCAGTAATGTAATTCACCAGCCGCCAGGATGTTCAGCATCTATCTTCACATCTAACTTGTCCAGCAAATCTAACAAATCTGCAGTTACTGTGTGTGTGTGTGATGAATACAGTTCCCTTCATGATGAAATCTGGGCCTGATAGTTCTGTGTAAGACTCGTGTCAGTAACATACATGCTTTGTTCAAGGGTTTATCATTTCACCCGTTTCTATGGGGGAGAACCGTTACATCTCCCAACTGTACTTTTTGTGTCACTCATTACTAGTCAGTGTCAAGGACAAGCGTGTGTTTGTGAGTGTGTATGTGTGTGAGAGTGAGACCAGGTGTGTGCATACCTCCCCGTCGCTCTGACTGAACTGTTTTCTTTTTGAACTAAGAACAATAGACTTCTGTACTTGTGAATGGTTTTTCTATTTAGTTCCTTGATTCAATGTTCCTTGCCTTTCTGCAAGTCAAAAATGCTGTATTTATTACATGCCACAGCGCTTATGCAATTGTATAATCCTTTTATTGTTTTTCTTTGTTTGTTTTTTAACCTTTTGTGTTCCTTATCGTCAATGTAAATTGTTGTCAAAACTTTTGTGGCAATGGAAAAACTTCTGCTAAGGGAGATTTTCTGTACTTTTTGGACAATGATATGGATTTGTGGGTAGAATTTTGGAAATTCGTTTCTAAGTGCTTTCAAGTATTTACTTGGCCTTATGTATATATATATATCTATCTATGACATTTCAGAAAGGTATGTATAGTAATTCAACCTGAAATTGTTGTAAATAAATTATATATTGTTAAATCAAGGACTAGATCTTTTGCTTGAAAAAATGTAATTGTTGCTTAACAATTAATTTTCATAGCTTTAGTACTAAATGTAAGATATGCCATCAAATACTCACCATCGCTCCGAGGAGAATAGGAACATTTGACATTTTAGGAAATACACTTAGTCAGATGAAAAGATGGATGCTGCTCGTGTCTGCATCAAGTACAGAGCTAGAGCAGTTTCCCAACCTTTTCTTCACAGGTTACAAATGTTGAGTTGCGACGGTGACCTGTGATAAAATGCATAAAGGAACTCGATCAGTAGTTTACCTGACCAAAATATGGACATGTGGTCAGCGCAGAAAGCTGTGAAAAAAGGCTACTGAGTGATTGTGAGTTTAAAATATTTTATCACAAAAATGTCTTCAGAAGGTAAAGAACGAATCTCCATGCTCAAAAAAAAATCTGTTTCCTTCTCACATAATTTTATTTTCATAGTCTTAATGGGCTGAGATAAAACCATCTAGTGAATTAGATAATTTTGTTAACCTTTCAGATTTTTTTTTTTCCCTTGATGCCTTGGGGGGTCCCAATCCCCAGACTGGGAACCACTCTTGGTAAGAAAGCAAATAAGTAAAAGAGCACTTACATCAGACTTTAGTGATTAAATGGCTACAGTAGTGATACACTCATGTCTACAAGTTCAATTAATTGTTTCCTTCTACATCTACAGGATGTTTTCATTCATTCAAGTTCACAAGGGTCTCGGGGTCTTAGAGGTCAAAAAGCTGTTTGTGTAAAGCTTGAATTTTAAAAACACAACACGCAAATAAGAGCAAAACACGTTAGAAAGTCTATTGTCCTGTTGTTGAGGTGCAGCTGTTAGTAAGCACAAAGACAGCCAGAACCTCAGACGACACAAAATCTTACAGATGGGTTTCCCCTCTTAGAAACACTTCAGCCCACAGTGTTCGGCCCCAGCACATGGCAATACTAAATTATTTTATTTGAAACGTCCAGCAACTAAAAAAACAACACTTACAGGCCCATTCTGAAGCAATATAAATACATATTCAACAATGGCTTGAAAGTACTCGAAGGAATAATCACAATATCATAGTAACACAAGGGACACAAACACTTTAGGACTTTTTTTTCCCCTTTACATAAAAAATGTCCAATAAA